ATAGATTCTAACCACCAAGTGAACCTCAATCTATAACTGAGTTCAGGAATAAAGCGAGTAAATAAAACAATGATTCTATATTACTCTTGTTAAGGCTTTCCGAGAGCAATTGGGTCAAGACGCTGTGTATAGTATACTTTTCTCCTCACCCCTGAAAACAAACGGAGCCACCAAGGTCGACTATTACTGTGGGGGAAGAGGAGGGGGGGATAATAACTACACGGCCCGGCAGCTGGGAGAGTGAAGTAGGTCAAACAAGGTGTAGAGTTTTGACGTCTAGTGGTGAGCACGCCCCCCACGCCCGCCTGGGCGAGTAGGTCAGGCAAGGTGTAGAGTTTTGACGTCTAGTGGGGAGCACGCCCCCCACGCCCGCCTGGGTGAGTAGGTCAGGCAAGGTGTAGAGTTTTGACGTCTAGTGGTGAGCACGCCCCCCACGCCCGCCTGGGCGAGTAGGTCAGGCAAGGTGTAGAGTTTTGACGTCTAGTGGGGAGCACGCCCCCCACGCCCGCCTGGGCGAGTAGGTCAGGCAAGGTGTAGAGTTTTGACGTCTAGTGGTGAGCACGCCCCCCACGCCGACCTGAGCGAGTAGGTCAGGCAAGGTGTAGAGGCTGAGGGGTGGCACCTCCACTTAAGTACCTACGGGCTCACCATAGCCCGTGCTACTTGGAACTTTGTTCCAGGCAGCGAATCTTTAACAACAACTTCCACCAATCACCCGATGAGTCGTCTTTGCAGTGATCACGCAATTGTCTCATTATGGACACCGATTGTAACATTCTCGTTGATATGCATCAGTTCTAGAGCTGAAACAATACACTTACGAATATATCAATATTACGCGGAGAGTTGCTTTACAAGTTGCTATCATTCACCATCTACAGTGTTAGTTAACAGTATATCATTACGATACAATAAGTGTTTGGAAACCCTTAGATTCTCCCGACAAGCAGTGTACGCGAGTACTATCAGTAAGTCACCAAGGGTAAGACTTCTTTGGGCGTGTATATATATATATATATATATATATATATATATATATATATATATATATATATATATATATATATATATATATATGTCGTACCTAATAGCCAGAACGCACTTCTCAGCCTACTATTCAAGGCCCGATTTGCCTAATAAGCCAAGTTTTCATGAATTAATGTTTTTTCGTCTACCTAACCTACCTAACCTAACCTAACCTAGCTTTTTTGGCTACCTAACCTAACCTTACCTATAAATATAGGTTAGGTTAGGTTAGGTAGGGTGGGTAGGTTCGGTCATATATCTACGTTAATTTTAACTCCAATAAAAAAAATTGACCTCATACATAGAGAAAGGGTTGCTTTATCATTTCATAAGAAAAAAAATTATAGTAAATATATTAATTCAGGAAAACATGGCTTATTAGGCAAATCGGGCCTTGAATAGTAGGCTGAGAAGTGAGTTCTGGCTACTAGGTACGACATATATATATATATGCGACGAAGCTTAAATGGTCCCCAAGACAATTCGCAACCGAAAACTGCTCATCCCTGAAGGATTCGAACCCAGACAGCCAGGGTTCCATGATCTCTAGCACATCCCGCACTGTACCACCTAGACCATACTGACTGTACAAAAAGGTGTGTGATGTGTGTGTGTGTGTGTGTGTGTGTGTGTGTGTGTGTGTGTGTATTCACCTAGTTGTGCTTGTGGGGATTGAGCTCTGGTCTTTGGGCCCGCTTTTCAACTGTCAATCAACTGTTTTTTGTTTTTGTTTTTTTGCCACACACACACACACACACACACACACACACACACACACACACACACACACACACACACACACACACACACACACACACGCAGGAAGCAGCCCGTAGCCGAGCTGTCTAACTCTCAGGTACCTATTGACTACTAGGTGAACAGGAGCATCATGGTGATAGAAACTCTGCCTATTTGTTTCCGCCATCCCTGAAGTCCATCCCCCCAGACCTAGGACTATGAATCCCAAGCACTGTCCACTCAGCCGTCAGGCCCTCCCATTTGTGTGTGTGTATTTACATGTGTCTGCAGAATCGAGTTATCTGCTCTTGAACCCCGCCTTTCTACCAATCTATTTTTTATCTATTATATCTACATATATTTCTCTCTAACACACGCACGCACTTTTATTTATTTATTTTCATTTGTTTAAATATACAAGAGTTTTTACATTCTTGTACAGTCACTAACACGCATAGCGTTTAGGGCAGGTCGTTTATCGGAATTTTCACACACATACATATCCCCAGGGCAGCTGTCTAACTCCCAGGTACCTATTTACTGCTAGGTGAACAGTAGCATCAGGATAAAAGAAACTCGGGCCATTTGTTTACGCCTCCGCCGGGAATCGAATCTGGGCTATTAGGACTATGACCCCCAAGCGCTGACCACTCAGCCGCGAAGCCCCAAGTGTGTGTATTCACCTAGTTGAGCTTGTTGGGGTTGAGCTCTGCTCTTTCGGTCAATCAACTGGTGTACAGATTCCTGAGCCTACTGGGCTCCATTATATCTATATTTGAAAGTATGTATAGAGTCAGCTTCCACCACATCACTGCCTAATGCATTCTATCTGTTAACTACTCTGACACTGGAAAAGTTTTTTCTAGCCTCCCTGTGGCTCATTTGGGTACTACATTTCCACCTGTGTCCCTTTATTCGCTTACCACCAGTGCTAAACAGTTTATTTTTATCTACCCTGTTAATTCCTTTGAGAATTTTATAAGTGGTGATCATGTTTCCCCCTAACTCTTCTGTCTTCCAGTATCGTGAGGTTTAGTTCCTGTAATCTTTCCTCATAGCTTATTCCTCTTAGCCCGGGGACTAGCCTAGGGGCATACCTCTGAACCTTTTCTAACTTCGTTTTGTTTTACTAGATGTGTCCTCCAGGCTGGAGCAGCATATTCCAGTATTGGTCTGACATATGTGGTATACAAGGTTCTGAATGATTCATTATAAAAATTTCTGAAAGCAGTTATGTTCATCAGCCTTGCATACGCCGCTAATATTATCCTTTTGATGTGGGCTTCAGGGGACAGATCTGGTGTGATATCAACCCTCAGATCTTTTTTTCGTCCTGACTCCTGAAGGATTTCCTCTCCCAGCTGGTACCTTGTGTTTGGCCTCTTGCTCCCTACGCCTATCTTCATCACTTTATACTTGCTCGAGTTAAACTCTAGTAGCCATTTGTTTGACCATTCCTTCAGTCTGCCCAGGTCATGCTGTAGCCAGAAAATATAAGCAACATTAATCCGAGTACAGAACCCTGTGGGGCTCCGCTGGTGACATCACGCCAGTCTGAGGTCTCACCCCTCACAGTAACTCTCTGATTCCTGTGGTTTAGGTACTCCCTTACCCATTGGAGCACCCTACCACTTACTCCAGCTTGTTTCTGCAACTTATACAACACTCTCTTATGGGGTACTGCTTCAAAAACTTTCTGTCAGTCCAAGAAAATGCAGTCTGCCCATCCTTCTCCTTCTTGCTTAATGCTCGTTGCTTGGTCATAGATTTATATTAGACCTGTGAGACACGACTTGCCTTCCCTGAACCCATGCTGGTGATGTGTTACAAAGTCCCTTCTCTCCTGATGTGCTACCAGGCTTTTTCTCACCATCTTCTCCATCACCTTGCACGGTATACAAGTTAGAACACCGGCCTGTAGTTTAGGGCCTACTACCTATCCCCCTTTTTGTATGTGTATGTGTGTGTGTGTGTGTATTTTACTATTTACCATTTGTATCTGTAGAATCGAGCTATTAGCTCTTGGACCCCGCCTTTCAAACCAATTTATTTTTCCTCTATTATATTTACTGCATATAATTCTCTCTAACGCACGCACACATCCCCAGGAAGCAGTCCGTAGCAGCTGTCTAACTCCCAGGTACCTATTTACTGCTAGATAAACAGAGGCACCAGGTTGAAAGAAACTTTGCCTATTTGTTTCCGCCTCCGCCGGGAATCAAACCCGGGCCCTTAGGACTACTACTCCAGAGCGCTGTCCACTCAGCCGCGAGGCCCCTTAGGTAGGTATGTGTGTGTGTGTGTGTGTGTGTGTGTGTGTGTGTGTGTGTGTGTGTGTGTGTGTGTGTGTGTGTGTGTGTGTGTGTGTGTGTGTGTGTGTGTGTGTGTGTGTGTGTGTGTGTGTGTGTGTGTGTGTGTGTATTTTTGTCCGCGTGGATCAGGCAGCACTGACAGCAATAATATCATATTTACTAAAGGTGTAACTCAGTCCTCCATCTACCTATATTTCTCTATAGGTAGAGAAATATAGGTAGATTTTCTACCTATATATACTTTGTCAACCTTGGATTGTCTGTGGGTAACAAGTGTGTTGTCGCGCAGGGTACAGTGTGTCAGCCGAGCACTGTAGCAGTACTAGGAGAACACGTAACTTACCAAGATCTAATTTGGATCGTTTGGACTTTAGACGTGTGCTTTCTCGCCCTACGAAACAAAGAGGAAATGACCTCCATAGCTCCTAATATAATCAAGTGACTTGCGACTCGAGGACTATTCTTAGTTCCAAGGGCAAAATCAGAAGCAGGAGAGCATGGTGGATATGGAGGATAGACCCAAGATCTAGGGGCAAGTCCCACGTAGAACATGGGTGTTCAATGACCTTCCCTTCTCGTTCAGTGTCTCCAGCGAACCACCACTTTTGAAGCAATTATCATTCCCAACGGTCGCCATTGGCGTATGAATCATAAATCGAGTTCAGTCAAACTTACGCTCCTCATCTTTCGATTAGTTCAACAATAACAAACTGACAAAGTTTTAGTTACGAGTTCCTGGTTCGTGGAAAACTGTAATCACCCCTGGCACTTCCAGTTTGCCTGACTAGGACTAGATAGAATCATGTTATGTCTCTCATGTTACCGTGATAGACATGACAACCCGTTAACAGTGACAACTGTACGACGACCCCCGGAAAACTTGCTGGTAACATATGTTGAGTAACGCGACGCCGAGTGACTTACCTTGGCCAAGTGTAGATGCCACTGACTTCGAATCCATAATGCCAAGATCCCGAGTATTCCCCCTGTCCCTTGGGACCGGTGCAGACGCCGTGGCCGTGGGCTTTGCCGTCTTCCCACCCGCCGCAGTACGTCCCACCGTCGTCAAAATCAAAACGGCCGCCGTTGACAGCCTTGCTAGTGCCGCTGGCCTGCCCGGTGGAGGCCATGGTGGGGGCCGCCGCCTCTGCTGCAGCTGCTGGCAGCCACGGGCGTGGGCGTGGGCGGGCAGGGCGCGCTGCACGTGGCGCTGCCTCTCCTGACGAAGGGTGTCACGTTAACACTACAGGAGGAACTTATCACTAAGGTGTCACAGCTGCTGCGGCTGCCCCCACCACCAGCGGTCACGGTAACCTTGCCCACTCAGAGTATCCGCAACAGCTGGAGACTTTAGTGCTGCTGCAGCTGTTGAGGCTGAGCAGACGAGGCGCGGCGACGGCGGCAGGAGGAGCAGCAGCAGCAGCAGGAGGAACGGGAGCGGGCGGGCGCCGCGGACACATGCTCCGTCACACTAGCCAAGCCCGCGCGCACCGACCCCCAACACCGCCATTTTAGGCAAGGTGGAGCGGAGGAGCCCGCCAGGGGCCACTAGTGTACAGCGGCGACGGCGGTGAGCACCCGTTGGGCAGCTGTTACACCTGTACACCCTGCTCCTGCCTCCCTCCAGCCCTCACACCGCAACACCTGTAGCTCACCCACCGCTCCTCACACACTACTGACTCCCTGCTCACAACCGCACTCACACCGCATCGATTACGGCGCACCGCCCCCCCTCCCTGAACACCGCCCCCCTCCCACCGCCACACTCCCTGAACACCGCCCCCCTCCCACCGCCACACTCCCTGAACACCGCCCCCACCACCACCACACTCCCTGAACACCGCCCCCCACCGCCACACTCCCTGAACACCGCCCCCCACCACCACACTCCCTGAACACCGCCCCCCTCCCACCGCCACACTCCCTGAACACCGCCCCCACCACCACCACACTCCCTGAACACCGCCCCCCACCGCCACACTCCCTGAATACCGCCCCCCACCACCACCACACTCCCTGAACACCGCCTCCCACCACCACACTCACTGAACACCACCTCCCACCACCACACTCCCTGAACACCGCCCCCCTCCCACCACCACACTCCCTGAACACCGCCCCCCTCCCACCACCACACTCCCTGAACACCGCCCCCCACCACCACCACACTCCCTGAACACCGCCCCCCACCGCCCCCCACCGCCACACTCCATGAACACCGCCCCCCACCACCACCACACTCCCTGAACACCACCCCCACCACCACCACACTCCCCGCAACCCGTTCTCGCAAATTTAATAAGTCAATATTGACTTATTAGTTGCGTGCATAGGTGACATACTTAACATAATAGTTTCCCTTAAAAAGCTTCATAGAAAACACCGACCTTACCTAACCTACTTAGTATGTTAAGATAAGCATCTTATTGCTTCGTAATTACAATTATTACCTAACCTATACCTATAATAGGTTAAGTAACAATTGTAATTACGAAGCTATAAGATGCTTATTTTAACATACTAAGTAGGTTAGGTAAGGTCGGTGTTTTCTATGAAGCTTTTCAAGGGAAACTATTATGTTTAGTATGTCACCTATGCACGCAACTAATAAGTCAATATTGACTTATTAAATTTGCGAGAACGGGTTGCTCCCCGAGCACCACCTCCACCACAAGCGCATTCACATTTCGCAGCTTCCAAACTATCTAACTAATGGCTAGTTATCTATGGCTATCATTGGCAAGCCTCAGAATCCTAAGTGATCAACATGAAACTGTATTTGCCAATATTCTATCCAAGTGTATCTAAATTCTGGGAGTCTTTTTAAGTTATTACCCTTCTTTTTTTATAAACGATCGTGCAAACGACACCTTTCTTATCGTTTGCTGATTTGCAAATACAGCTGTTGAATCCTGTATCTAAATTCTTTTATATATATAGTAAATAACGGAGGCTCCATGACACAGCCTTGGGACACTTTATTTACAATGGTTTCCTAGTTTTCATTCCATTTATAGTAACACCTTGTTTCAGTTCAAGTAATTTTCCGACGATAGCCGTTAAGCTAATTGGTCGATAGTTCGACGCAAGTGATCTATTTCCCCTTCACAAAGATCAGGGTAAATATTGGTTTGAAAAGAGGGTTGTTGATTTATAGAACAAATTATCAAGCGACATAATTGACGGTGGGTTGTTTAAAGGGAAAGTTTTGACGTGCGAGTAAGTTTGGTTAGATATCGATGGGATATCTTCCTCCGATGTGCTAAATAGGCATTCTGCAGTCTCTCTTATTCTCGAGTTGATATATTTTTCTGTTTTCATTATGAAATCTTCCCACCAAACAATCTTCCAATTACGAAAAGGTTTTCTTCCAATATAAAGCCCAAAAGAAAAATTAAGAAACTAGAAAATATGAAACGCCTAAATCGGCTCTAAAAATAAATGTAAACAAAAAATGGATGAAAAAATTAAACTTGAGAAAGAGTAAAAAAATCACCATTTTCATTGAGAAACCTGAATTGGATTGCTGCTGGAACAGACGTGATATTTAGAGTTGCAAGTGTGGAAGACTTGTGGAACAACGGTGAAACATGGCAGTTACCGCAGCAAAACACAGCTGAAGCAGGTGTGAAATATGGCGGGAACTGGCCTGGAACACAGGCAAAACAGGTGGATTCATGGCAGATACAGGTGTGGAACACAGATGAAACAGGAATGACACATGCATGGACACACAGATGCACGGTTACACAGATGAACTGAATCGCAGACGCGTGGATACAGTTAATATACATATGGACCAAATTTGCAGATCAATTCATTCATATTTCCAAGGACACAGTTACAACGAGGTCATTTGACCAGTATAAACAGTTTTTTTTTTTTTAATTTTTGCATTAACTTTATAATCTCGGCTCGACTCCCAAACATGCAAAGCCTTAATTACTGGAGTGAATTGGGCTCTGCAGACCAGCAAGACCAAGTGTCCTACACACGGAGAATGGAATACTCTTAGTCTGTCTCCTATCCCTTGTCCAGAAGAGATGCTTTACAAACCACACTTAATGCTTACTCCGACGACACAGTGTCAATTAACAACACCCCAACGTCCCCCACCATAATAAAGTTGTGTGGAAAGGAAGAATGTCGCTCATTTGCTAGAAAATAACGTTCCACAAACTTACACTATCATAAGCATGCGAGAATGAATTCACGGACGCACAGAAACACGGAAGAACAATGATAGGATGACACATGCACGGATCTATGGATGTACGGACACATAACCGCATGTATAAATACAGCGGCGGACACATTCATGAGTGTGCATACCTTTAAGCGCACAAACATTCAAGTGCTTGGCTGTAGAGACGAACGGTCGCCGGACGAACAGACTCCTGGAAGCACAAAATTCACTTTCAAGATAAGAAAATTCACTTTCGCAGAGTGGTAGACGGTTGGAACAAGTTAGGTGAGAAGGTGGTGGAGGCCAAGACCGTCAGTTGTTTCAAAGCTAATTATATGACAAAGAGTGCTGGGAAGACGGGACACCACGAGCGTAGCTCTCATCCTGTAACTACACTTAGGTAATTACAACCACGCACAAACGTACACACTAAATATTGTCCCGTTTTCTTCAACAAGTAAACAAAGAAAAACGACATCTCTAGGGCGTCCAAAGGGATTTTTGTCAATAATAACAAATAATAACAATAATAATATTAGTAAATGTATGAAAAATACAGAGGAACTGATTACAGAGAATATATACTTATTAGGTACAGTATTTGTAGTTTTGATAAGGCCACTAATTACGCCCAACGGAACTACATAATTAATGCACGTAGCATCAATTATGTAGTTCCGTTGAACTACATTTTTGCTGGAAGTTTACGTAACTTGTGTTCAACAAGTTGTAGCCAGGTACATCGAAACTACCGTGCAATAAACCATAGAGTTTGCTATATACATACTGTCAGTAGATAAATTAAATAAAATAGGATTGAAGCTATCGTACGCATTCATACACAGAATGCGTACGATAACGACTCACCGGGTGCCCCGTAATTTAAAAAGGTTCTTATTTAGCGTTGGTCTTTTTGTATAGAGGATAACTTAACGTTATAAAGTAGCGTTATAACGTGACTTTATACAATAACCACATAACGTAGCGTTATAATGTAACGTTGTGACAAACTGCAAGAGACTTCCTGCAAGAAAATATCAAGAATTGTAACGTCACGTGCAGTGTTGCCAGCCGTTGGGTTTGGTTTACTACAGAAGACGAATAGTTCAGCCTAATTAAACAGCCCAAATTAACAAATATAACCTAATACGTTGCTTTGGTTAATGTATTCTTTACTGATAAAATATACCTAGGTAGATACCATAACTAATAACATTTCACAGCTTACTGTACTATGCTATGTATTCTCACAAACCCAATGTACCTTCTTGTATATAAATAAAAGCTAGCGAAATAGCGTCCGGTGTGCCATGCACATACTGGAGGTCAGAAGAAAATGTATACATCCTAATTAGCATTGCATAAATGAATGTCCCAGTCTGTTCTAGAAAAAATAAAACAAACAAAAAACTGTATGGGTCCATGCTAAAATAATAATAATAATTTATAATTATTATAATTTTTAACAAAGTGCATTTGGAGCATGATAACAGAGGAGTATTCGCAGGTATACAATTCATATAATTTATATAAAGCCATTAATACGCAGTGGGTTTCGGGCATTATAACGCTTATCAGGTCACTCCACGGAAAACACTGACGGGAGGACTTCTAAAAGAAGGGAAGGGACCTATCAGGAGACAGTTACAGCCCCACTCCTGTGCCAGGTAAGTCCAATACGGGCTCACCATAGCCCGTGCTACTTGAAACGCTTTGTTCCGAGTAGCTGAATCTTAAACAACAACATATCAGGAGAAAGTGTAAAGCCATCACGACTATATAACACTTAGAAGAGATCAGGATAAGGATTTGGGAGGAATGGCGCCCCAACCACTTGAACGGTCGGGGATTCGAACGCCGACCTGCATGACGCAAGACCGTCGAACTCGCTAAAAGATCAAAATAGCAGTCACAATACGTTAAGATTGATCAGTGCGTCTTAGGGCGACGGCCACAGATTTAATAAGGAGCCTGGCCTGAGGACGGGTTGCACAAACAGGGAGGTGTTTGGCGGCTGCGTGCTATGAACACTTGGCCTTTGCTGCAACCCGTCCTCGTCAACAAACGCCAAAATACTCGTTAATCCACCAGTCTCCAGGTTTCTTTGTTGATGAGGACGGAGAGAACGACTTAGTACTTTGCGCGAAAAGTTTAGAAGCTAATCAGTTGAAATTCATCTCGAAGTGCGTTCGATTGGATGCACGACGAGTCTATTGGACGCAACGACGAGTCTGGTGGGCGAAGACCAATCTGTTGGGCGCGGGACGAGTATATTGGAGGCAGGACGAGTCTGGAGGACACGCGACAAGTCGGGCTCGTGGCGAATTAGGCAGATGTGGAGCTAATGAGGTGGGCTCTGAGCGAGACAAGTGGGCCGAGGACGAAGGGTGGGCAGCACATGGTCCCGACAAGGACCCACCTCCACTAACAGACACACTCCCTCCTGAAAATAAAAATAAACCCAGAACCCCAACTCCGGGAGGGGTTGCCACGTATCGCCGGCCAGATAGACCTTGATCTATGGTTACAGACGTCAAACAGACGCCAAAATGACATATGTGACGCATCACCCACGTATACCAGAAGCGTATATAGAAATGAGAGGCTGAGAAGGAAGTGTGGACGTCGCTATTGTGTTGAGGCGAAAATAATGTGGCAACATCTTACCTTCTGTTTACCTGATAGGTAGAAATACCTAAGATCCTTGTATCGGAAGAGCATGGGGGTGAGAAAGACGGAAGAGAGGATCCAGACGATAAACAAGATAAAAAGGAAGTTGGGGGAAGAAAGGGAGAACCAACACAATAATGAGGATTAAAGTGTGTGGTGGTGGGGGGAAGAAGATGCAGAGAATGACTGATGTATGGTGTAGGGTGGAATAGGGAAAACGATGATGTAGGGGAGGGTGAGGTGGGGTAAGGGTGATATGGAAGGGAAAGTGGTGTATGGTAGAGGTGATGATGCAGGCTGGGAGGGTGTAAGGTCATTTAATGTACAACCTTGATAACCTCCACCCGCTGGAAAAAAAACTCGTGATTCCATTCACTCAGTAATCGTATCTCCTTGGGAAGAAGAGGCTTGCGATATTAAAATAATCGAGATTAGAGCATTGAATCCCACTCAGCATGTTCCTTCAAGAAATACGACACATTTACCTTAAAATAATAATTATGAGGAAAGGTATGAGTCTCTTAACATGAGATCTGAAACTGCATAAACATTAATGAGGCAAACTTTCTTCATTCCTTTCCTTCAGAAAGGAACTGAGAGCAAAGCACAAATTAAGAATCTGGAATCGTCTAAGTTAGCCAGTGAAATGTCACGCCGTAAACAGAGGGACACTCTGTGAAATAAAGATAGTTGGGGAAACTGAATTGAGTCAAAGAAGGCGAGATGAAGCCTCATTCAGATTCCCTCATCTAGAAAGAAAAGAGCAGACCTGCCCGAAGCTGTACATGCCTAAGAATACTATAATGACAACCCGTCCTCATCAACAAAGGTCAATGTTCATTCCAGGCAGCCCCCAAACCCCCTGTGTAGTAATGAAAAACGCTTTATCTTAACTGATGACGTTCAAACATTTGTTGTACAGTGCTTCACTGACGACCTCTATTCGAATTGCAACCAACTGCTTCCCCCCACGCACTACAAATACAAATAATTGTCAATAAACCCTAACCTAACGTACGTCAAAATATGCACAATATGCAAATCTATAATAATATTTATATGTTTGATAAATTTCCTATTTTGAATGAACAGTATGATAAACTTGATGAATGTGTCACACTACATTCATCAAGTACTACTACTTAAGGCAGCGTCTGGGATGATCACAGACTTACGTTCGAATCCTCGTCACGGCCCTTGTGGATTTGTTCATTGATGAATGTGTCTTTGGGGTCGGCCGCTATAGATGAAATGAACCTAGCCTGAGGATGGGTTGTTGTCTGATATACTGCGTCTTAACCCTACGTTAATTAATATGAATTAAAATAATAATTTTTCAAAAATAGATTGCATAGGTCCATTAACAATATCCGCCCAATTTGTTGCAGTAAGAAAACTTAAGCATGCGAATTGGAGAATGTCAATTCTCTTGTCTGACAGTCGAGCCCCAGTTGGTCTGGCTAGCATACAAGTGACAGGATGAACAACCAGTTTGGCTGTCTTCCAACTGGGGAAGAGTTTTACATGCTGCTGTGGGGAAATGTTAACCCACAGGATGTTAACCCACAGGATGTTCGCCCACTGGACGTATTCCTTGGTTCAAAATACAAAAACAAAAAATATTTGTTCTTAACACAAACACTGATTACTAATATGTCTAAAAACATTCATACAAATTAATAGATTCAATTTGATTTATATTTAGACCATGTTTTTAATGCAATTTAACGTTCTGTGGTTGTAACAAGAAATAAAAAAAAAAACGTCCTCAGACTAAGTCCATTCAATCCAGCAGTCGATCCTAAAGACGCATTAATCACTGTTAACATTCTGTTAATTTAAAATAGGAATTTTCTCAAATATAAATATTATTTAATATTAGCATATTGTACATATTTAGGCATTGGTTTGGCAAAGTTAGATGTTTAGGTTCTGTTGGCGATTATTTGTAGTACGTGGGTGAAGCATTTACCCAAAAGTGATTCCATGCACCCGCCAAACCCCCTGTTTATGAATGAAAAGCGGTTTACACACGACTCACAACTGCTGACGTTCGAACATATCCGGAACAAGTGCTTCACTGACGAATTTTGTTCGAATCGCTACGCTATAAATGCTTCACCCACGTACTACAAATACAAATAATTCAGATTCAGATTCAGATTCAGATGTTTATTCAGGTAAGGTATATACATACAAGTGATGTTACATTAATGGATTGATATATAGATAGAGCTAGCACATACAATGCCTAAAGCCACTATTACGCAATGCGTTTCGGGCAAAATAATCGCCAACAGAACCTAAATACCAAACCTAACCAATGGCTATATATGCACAATATGCTAATATATTATAATATTAATTTTTATTTGAGAAAATTCGCGTTTTGAATGAGCAACATGTTCAAATTTGTGAATGCGTCTGTGGGGGTCGACCGCTGGATAGAATAGACTTGAGTCGAGGACGGGTTGCTGTTCGAAAAAAAATCGGACGAAATTCATTGTAGATTGTGTGTAGTGCTTTTTATTCATCAAATAAAAACTGCAACAAAAATAATATTAGCAGTAATAATAAAGTTAACAATATAAAACATTATTTATAAAATAGTCACACAGTTTAAAAATATATACATCAGAGAACAAATCTGCATAAATATTTATGCAGTATGGCAACAATTTCAAAATCTATAAAACAGTGTTAGCCCCCCTTAAACCATGTTATACAATTACATATACATGGACACATTAAAACATGCATTTTATTGTTTTACCTTACTACTGAATCCAAAAGACATTGTTTTTATGACATTAATGTAATTTTTAATGACTATTTAAACTATCATTTTTATTAACAAAATATTAATCTTGTGACCTTTTCAAGGTTGCCAGAGGCAGTCGACACCAGCTGGGACAGACGGTCGAAAATTCGCAAATCATGAACACAGAATTCGGCAGACAATGAATGACAGGGTATTGGCAGGGAGTCAGGATATCAGCGGGAGGGCGAGGCTATCAGTAAAATGACTAGACTCTCAGGAGGAATGCATAGGAATCGGAGAGCAACTTGAGCCGCAAGTTCACTACGCCGTCAGTAACATCGGCAGCAGCATCAGGCATCATCATCATCATCACCAGCAGCAGCAGCAGCATCAGGCATCATCATCATCACCACCAGCAGCAGCAGCAGCAACTGCAGGCATCATCATCGAGTACGTCAGGACGTCAGCAGCAGAGGTAACACAATCATAACCAGGGCTAATGCAGAGCAGCCCACAGCCGGTGCTCCACTGAAGCACTCCTCGTCGCCAGGTCCGCAGTACACGCCATAATACCCCAACATTCCTCCTGCACACAATACATCGTTCACCTGTTTTGAATACACAAGGTAAAGTAATTATGAGGAGAAAGCGTTAAGTCATTTGACTATATAACACTTAGAAGGGACATAAGGATGAAAAAAAAGTAACAGTACCTAATCAATTGGAGTACTGAGAATGTGTCCACTTCAATTCGAATGCCATATAATAAATAACGGCAATGAATCCTGAACTGCTGCAAGACTGGTCACTGAACTTATAAAACTGAACTACGAGGGAAGCCTTAAAGAGACAACTTCACAACACTGGAAATAAAAACAAAGTGGCGCGACATAATCACAAAATATAAGATACTTAAAGACATTGCCAAAGTGACCTTGAACGAGAGATAACAGATGGAAAGTAAAAAATACAGAAGAACCACAACAGCATAAGGAAGCACTTGTGTGAAAGGACAGCAAGCAAGCAACATTAGGAAGAAGTAGAGGTAAGTAAAGAAAACTCCACACATAGTTTCAAGAGTAATATTATGCAGCAGTAGAGTTGGGAGCCATTACAAAAGCCTTCCAGTGACTAAGATGGGATCTATGAGCTCTTGTAATAGCACTTTCTCTGTAACTAGCTGACATTGTAACTATAAGGTGTGAAGGATAGTAGAAATTGTTTATGTAATAATCTAAGATGAGGTCTGATAAAGACCTTTTGTCCCCTCTGTAATGCTTTGCGCTACCGCTCACAGGATGAGTATGGGGTGCACAATAAACTAGCCGCCTTCGGCGGCAACAATCAAAATGCTCGCCGTGAAAATATAAAGATGAGCACATTCACACATAATCAAGCCGATCATTACAATACCGTGTTCTCCAGATCGAGATCTCCTTCATAATAGCAACCGCAAGCGTCAGCACTGCCGTTGACAGCCTCTGCCACTGTGATGTACTCGGCAAAGGGCTTCTTGTCGAGACACAGTTGGTAACACGCCGCCTCCAAACTCGTCAAGGGCTCATCCACCTCCACCTGCCAGGTGAATTGACGCGAAATCGAATTTTTAACTTTTTGTTAAAAAGTTATGTTACAAATTATTATCTGGACAAATTTAAGTATTCTACTAGTTTCTAAGCTATATATCAAAATTACTTCAATCTTCTATATCAAATTACTTTGCCAAACACAACAAAGAAAGCATTAAAGATCTCACCGACTCACTGTGAAAACGCCTTTCTCGTTAACAGACCCAAGACTTTCAACCATCAAACAAGGGATATATATATATACACAGAAAGGTTTATCCCGCTTTTCGGTGTATATACACTAAAGAATATGTTTTAGTTTTGGACTAAAGTGTACTTGCTGGTTGGTCAGTAAGTAATTGTGGTAGCGTTAATAACCCTCTCGAAGTTGAGAGGCTTTAAGCCCCTAATCAAACCAAGCCGTCAGACATCTGAGATAATGGTTTCCTTAGCAGACGTGCTACGGCGGGGTATAATACTATCTAACAACTATTTCATTATTAAGAATTTGAAAAAATTTTAAACATTTAAAACTTTAACTTTTAATTGTTTAATTTTATATATTTTAAATGTTTAATTTTATAAATTTTACATTTAAAATTTGAATTTTGAAATTTTAAATGTTTAATTTTATAAATATTTATTATGTTCAAAATATTTGCACTTATACTTTCGTTATTTTGTCAATCACTCGAGGGCCCTTACTCGATCTTTTAAATATTAAATGATGTTTTTAACTTAACTGCCTGCTTTACAAAAATGTATCATGTGCCAAAAATTCAATCTGGGCCAGAAATATATTTTGTCCCAAATACAAATAATATGGCCATACAGGCGTGGAAGGGAAGGAAACTATCAGGGGGGGAAAAGCACCAAGCAATTACGATTATATAGCACTTGGAAGGGGTCAGGATAAGGTGCCAGATTCACGAAGCAGTTACGCAAGTACTTACGAATGTGTGCATCTTTTCTCAATCTTTGGCGGCTTTGTTTACAATTATTAAACAGTTAATGAGCTGCGAAGCACCAGGAGGCTGTTTATAACAATAACAACAGTTGATTGTTAAGTTTTCATGCTTGTAAACTGTTTAATAAATGTAACCAAAGCCGTCAAAGATTGAGGAAAGATGTACACGTTCGTAAGTGCTTCCGTAACTGCTTCGTGAATCTGGCCCAAGGATTTGGGATGGGACGGGGGAAAGGAATGGTGCCCAATCACTTGGACGGTCGGGAATTGAACGCCGAACTGTATGAAGCAAGACCATCGTTCTACTCACCAGTCCAAGTGGTTGGGCAAAACGTTGACTATGTTCATAGACATTACTTTGCAGTAAAGTATTTTTCAAAATTATGCATTCTAATATGCATTCATGTGAACTAATATTCATTCATTCTTCTTTTTACTGACATATATCGATAAATTAAATATTAAAACAAAAAATAATCACCATAACTGCAGTACAAATCGTTCCTATACAGACTAGTAAAATGTGTCTCATTCAACTGTATTTAAATATATTTGGTTCTCGCCACTGATAGAAAAATGTGTTCCTAACAATGCCTTCCCCAAGCCCAGAATGAATAGCATCTATTACCCCGTGTTCCTCTTCTATGAAACACAAATTAGGAAAGACCCCGGGCCATCTGGGTAAGGCTGACAAACATCTCCACCAGGCGTAAGATTGAAGAAGAAGAAGTCCATGCATGACTGTCGAACAACAACGCTCCCATGCGCAAGACAGACGGGCAACAACTCCCCTCCATGCGTAAGACAGACGGGCAACAACTCCCCTCCATGCGTAAGACAGACGGGCAACAACTCCCCTCCATGGGTAAGACAGACGGGCAACAACTCCCCTCCATGCGTAAGACAGACGGGCAACAACTCCCCTCCATGCGTAAGACAGACGGGCAACAACTCCCCTCCATGGGTAAGACAGACGGGCAACAACTCCCCTCCATGCGTAAGACAGACGGGCAACAACTCCCCTCCATGCGTAAGACAGACTATCAACAACTCCCCACCCCCCATGCGTAAGACAGACGGGCAATAACTCCCCTCCGTGCGCAAGACAGACGGGCAACAACTCCCCTCCATGCGTAAGACAGACGGGCAACAACTCCCCCCCCCCCCTCCATGCGTAAGACCAATGAAGAACTCCCACCTCCTGAAGGTTGACAAACATGAGCGTGCCGGCGAAGTTGGTCTGGTTGTGGAGGCAGCCCATGTACGTCTGCTCGACGGGCTTCCACCTGCGAGGCGCCCTCGCTGCCACGCCCTCTGAAGGCTCGTCCTCGTCGTCCTCCTCTGCGTCGTCCACTTCTGCGGGATAGTAACATTACTGTGAGGCAAATACTGGCATCAAATATATTTAACAATTAATATTCCCAGACTATAACTGCGTTAATAATAACTGAACTAGTAGTAACGATGGCGAACGAGATTATAATGATTGCAATGATTGTTATATTTAGCAGCATTATTATTATTATTATTGGTAGTAGAAGTTTGATTATCAGCAAGTACTGTATCATTATATACTGCATATATGATTTGTACACGTCACTAATTGAAGTTTGTTCCTTGAAAACAACATATAAATTGGAATATACCACATATGTACTTACTAATAAGCCAAATATTGACTATAAGCAGTAAGTTATATATGTACTGTCTTGTGCGAGAGCAGGTTGAAACGTTCATATATATATATATATATATATATATATATATATATATATATATATATATATATATATATATATATATATATATAACTGAAAACTCACACCCCAGAAGTGACTCGAACCCATACTCCCACAACTGGTATGTACAGGGACGCCTTAATCCGTGGTACATACCAGTTGTGGGAGTATGGGTTCGAGTCACTTCTGGGGTGTGAGTTTTCAGTTGTATATAGTCCTGGGGACCATTCAGGCTTGTTTGCATATATATATATATATATATGTCCCAATTATTCAATGGGACGCGAGACCGTCCTTGTCCATTCAGCATTAATCTACTGGACTGTATTTGTTCATGCCATATAGTTTTCATGAAAGGAAAACAAATACACTCCCCCTATCATCCAGATCACGCACCGTGGTAGTCGTAGTTTAATGGGTGGTCCGGGGTGGTTGTAGTCTGTGTGGTGGTGGTGATGGTGGTTGTATGGTGGCCGCCCTCGCCCAGCTGGGCGTGGACATAACTAACCAGGCTCCCGGCTACCACCACCAGTAGCCACTCGCCCATCATCGTCTCCCCGCGGAGAGGAAGGATGGTTCACGGCTCTCTGGTAGTATCTCCACAGCAAGAAACAGTATGTCAGTTAACATAGATTTATGAATATTAAACACAGAATTATGTATAGTAATCGTAGTAAATATCTTTGTAATACATAGTAAACATCACTGTAATATTGCAAAATGACATTTGAAATTGAAATAAGTTTATTGAGGTAAAATACACACAAAGGGATGAGGTAGCTCAAGCTATTCTCATCCCGTTCAGTACATCGTGTTCATACATATATAGACACACATCACAAACAATAAACATATTACCAAACATTCTGAGAGATAAACATCTACATTTCCTCCTTTACACAAGTAGTATGGTAAAAAAATGACATGGGCCTCCCTAATTTACAATTTTTTTACCAATGTTGTTTAGCGTTATCGTAATTTTGATAAATCATTATTGTAATAAGTTATAATATTAAGATATTAATATTTTAATATTGTAACTATTATAACGTAATACCTTGTATTACGTTAGGGGGTCCAGGGATTTGTATAATATATAACATGTGACCACGTAGGTAAGTGAGGGCGTGTCAGTGGGCGTGTGCGCGTCAGCTGCTTGACCACACGTTTTCTATGTTCTCGCCAAGTGAAGGGGAAACGCCAGTATTGTTCTCTCCGCCTTCCTGCTCTCTTTCTCATGGCGGAAATACCTTCCTGGGTACTTTCGCGTAAGCCTACTGCTAAGACAACATATATGTCATCTTCTATGCAAACCACTTGTAGCTTGTAGTCTCCATGTTCGAGCCTTTAAGGGTTCGTACCTACACCGTCAAAGTGGAGGTCCAGTATTAAATCCACTCTGTCACTTAAAGGTTCAGAACATGGGGGGTGGGGGGGGGGAGGAATTCCCAGATGCACCTAGGTCTCTCTATCCCCCATCCCCGTCCCTCTCTTTCCCTAGGCCCCTTCTCTTCCCATCCCTCTCCAACTTTCCCAAAAAAATCCCAACTTTCCTTTTCTCCACCCTATCTCCCAATTTCTCACCCCTCTCCTTTACATTCCCACTCTTACACCTCTCCACCATCTCCCCCAATGGACCCCCCCCCCTCTCTCGTCTTCTTTACATCTGTCTCCCCCTTTCTCTAAACATTTCCCTCTCTTCAATCATCTCTCTCCCCTCTATTTCTGTCTCAGAAAATGTAACCCCTAAACTTTAAATAATATTGACAATAATTAATTAAAAAAAAAAGAGTTCACTCATGGATGTCAACCAACAAACTCACACTAAACATAGTGTGAGTTTGACTTACTGCATTTTATTTGGTAGTAAATCATCAAGTCAGACTCAAGTTCAGATAGACAATGTTAACATTAGCAATAAAAATTAGGAAACGTTCCTTGGTCTATACATAGACAAGAGACTGAACTTCAGCACCCACATACAACACATAGCCAAAAAAAAGTCTCAAAAACGGTCGATATACTTTCTAAAATCACATTATGTTCCCCACTCTGCTCACCTCTCATTATACTACGCGCTAATCTATCCCTATCTTACATACGGTATCTGTACATGGGGTTCAACCACTGCAAGTTCTAGACGTGTTAATAGGCTTCAAGTCCAACACCAAACAAGCAAATATGGCTCGTTGAAACACAGATTCCACTGACATTCACAAACTATTTGACAACTTAAATCTAAAAACATACATAAAGTTCTTTCAATATACAAATGGCAATATTATATCGATGTATGTATTTTAGCAGAGTCTCCTCTGATGTGTTCTTACGTTAGACTACTGTACACGGCACTGCAAATTCTCCTTGGAACTTGCCACCCAAATGAGTTTTGGGGTTTATTTCTAGAGTTTGTTGTGTCTAACTTTTCAATTATCGCCAAAGCATGGGTATGGGGTGCATCATAAATGAATATAATTCAAAGTTAAAACATATGTTATTAATTATGCAATACAGAACACAAGCTTAGAATACATGAACAAATCCACAAGGGCCGTGACGAGGATTCGAACCTACGTCCGAGAGCATCCCAGACGCTGCCTTAATCGACTAAGCTATAACATGGTAAAAAGAGCTAAAACCTTTAGAAGTTCTACTGAACTTGGATCGCTGAATTCTACTGAATTACTTACTTGAGTTTTTACTGAACTTACTTGTTCATTTGATGCATCACGCTATTGTGATTTCTGTATGCTTAGAATACATGTTTTAAGTGAAGTTCAGTTTTTAATTACATAGTGAAGTATGTGTATATTTCTGCTAAATTTGCTTACTGTAGGTGCAGCCTGCACATGACCGTAAAGCTGCCGCCCAGTTGGGTGGGTGTGGAGCAAGACTAGTAACTGTGACTCACCATAGATGTAAAGTGCCTTATATAATTATTGTTGTGAGCCTCTTGTTGAATCACTTGATATAAAAAGATTATTGATATGTATATGTATTTGTGTAAATGATTGTATATATATATATGCACATGTGTATGTAACATTAACAATTGTGTAACTAGCTTTAAAAGATTGTAACTTGCTTAGGTAAAGGAACCATGGGGTTCAGTTCCTGAACCCATTAGGTGCCTCTGTAATCCTTTCCACCACCGCCCACGGGATGGATATGGGGTGCATAATAAAGAAAAATTGTTGTTGTTGTTATAGATTCAGCTACTCGGAACAAGTTCCTAGTAGCACGGGCTATGGTGAGCCCGTAACTTACCTGGCACAGGAGCGGGGCAAGTAGCACGGGAAGAAAAATTTAATTGACAGTTTATATTAGGTCTTGATCTACTTCAGTATGTGGTGCAAACTCCCAGAGATGCTTGTAGCCGAGCCTGAGTCCATAGTAGTAGCAACGTCTACCTATCCTACCCCGTCACGTTAGGAAAGAATGCCGTGTTAAAAACGTATAAGACAGAAGGCATATCTATGGCCAGAAATCATTGAGATACTCACCTAGGGGCCTGCAAGCGCCCTATATCCACACGTCCCTTGGCTGGTGCTCCCTCTCCAGTCTACGAAGGTATTTTGGAACAGCCTTTACCTCACTTAAAACAAAGTATTAATCGGCACAAGTTTTCTGGCGTTGGATGTACATCCTTCCTCGCTTTGGTACTAATGTTTGGTGGCTGGCACGTTATCAACCGCTTATCTACGGCCACACGAGTCTTATCGGCCAGATCCCGTTACACAAATTGCACTAAATTATACATTCACAGATATTACCAGAATGAAGACGTTAGCTATCGGGGCACACACACAAGAGAACACTGAGGAGCGTCGAGGTGTTGATGTTTGAGTATGGAAGTGTGTGTACATCAGCAGCAGCAGCAGCAGCTGGCCGCCCGGGTCTGCATGACTCAGGGACCTGAGTCATGAGTCAGCCGGGCTGGATATGACGCTTCAGACTTCCTCTTATTAACGCTTACCCAAGTCTTGCCCCCTTCCAAGGATATACAAGGTATCATAATAATTTACCGTGTGACTAATTTAGGAAAAAAGTAATTTAGATTATGCTAGAGTGTAATGTAAATAGTGTTATTCATTGTTTATAATGAATATAAACAGTAACTGTTAGCAAGCATGTCATCAGTGCAACAGATGATATAATATACAAAAGATTGTGCACCGTACACTCTTAAAATAATTTACACACAGTACACTGTAACACACACGATGAAATTGCTACAAGTTCAACATATCTTCACTCAACAAAGCAACATTCCTCAGGCATTTCCTTCATCTGGACAGCAAGTTACGCAACGCCTCCGGAAACACTCTAGAGTATTGTTTTTATTTAACAGGTCGCCAAAGGATGGGTTAAATTTCTATTATCAATCATTCAAGGATCAGCGAGCGTAACCGTGAGCCAGACTCATTCAAGGGAAACGTAGAGTGGGTATTGGTGGGTGGTAGTGGGTGGTGGTGGTGGTGGTGGTAGTGTGTGGTGGTGGTGGTGGGTGGTAGCGAGTGGTGGTGCTTACCTAGAACTGCCTACAGGAAAAGTCTAGCCCTTTATCTCCCGCCTACTAGCCTTGCTGTACCTATTGCGTTATAATTTAACTTTCTATTTCAATCAGTGCATTCTACTTGTTGACCACCAGTACAGAGTACGAGAATGTCCTTACATTTTTTTCGACTCATTTGCGTTTCCAGATTATATCTTTGCGCACTTCTACTTTCACTCAGTATCTGGTATGTATTGGTCACGTCCCCTCTTTTCCTTCTCTCCTCTAGAGTTGTCAGATTAAGTACCCTTGTTCTGTCGTCATACCTTATTCCCCTTAATTCAGGCACTAGTGGTTATAGGGATGTTAGCTGTAGGGTGTGGTGTTGTGGTGGTGGGGTAGAGGTGTGGCTCCAGGTGGGGTAGAGTGGAGTGGGAGTGGAGGTTGGGGTTGTGGTGGGGTGGAAGTGTGGTGGTGGAGGAGGTGAAAGTGTAGTGGTGGGGGTGGAAGTGTGGTGGGAGTGGTGGTGGGGGTGGAGGTGTGGGTGATAGGGTAGACTCCGCCCATTGCCGTATTGATTGCTGGAACACGTGGCCCGTCTCCCCCTCCCCCCCCCCCCCCTCCTTTACTCCTCGAGGACACATGCACTTGCTGTCCACCTTCTCCAACACTAATTATCCATCTCGACCACTCCCTGTCCACCTCCATCACTTCATATCCATCTCCACTTCTCGCTATCCACTTCCAATGCTCCTTATTCACCTATACCACTCGGTAACAAATGTTACCGACTATCGCCTTCTATCACCGGCTCAACTAGCTATCCGTTACCACTGGCTATCAACCACCAATAGCCAGTGGTGGAGGTGTGGCTCCAACTCCCTCCTTTACTCCTCACGGACACATGCGCCTCCAGGAGCCACCACACCACCACCACACCACCACCCCCACCACTCCACCCCCACCACCACACCTCCACTCGCTATCTACCACCAAATGCTATTCATCAGTAATCGATGGGATAATCGGGAAAATGGATAAGGGCAAAAAACAAAGGGTCACAGTGAGTCGTGTTGAGCTAGAGTGACGCGACAAATGGGCCCGACAGCGTAGGCTCTGTCCTGTTCCCGCTGAGGGCATTGGGGAGATCATGTCCTTCAGGTAAATTCAGGTAAACTCAAGCAAGTGGCCATGGGAGTGGGTTCGTACATGTCGATGCTTGTGGATCGGGAGGGTAGAAATAGCCTAAGCTACTCAATCCCTTTGAGATGTATTTTTTCTTGTCTCAATAAACATACTTGAACTTGCTTGTGGATGACAAAGCAAATGAGGACTATACATAATCACGAGTGGGCTGATAAATGGATATTAGAGTTCAATTTCAACAAGTGTAGGATAATGAAGATTCGAATGGGAGAAAGTTATGTACGTTATGAGAAGTCAAATATTGAAATCAGAAACAGGACAAGATTTAAAACCTTTTTTTTCACTGTTGCAACCAGGGGCGGCTATAGAACTGTGCACCCATACTCATCCTATGAATTGTAGGGGGGGGGGAAGGTTTACAGAGGATATAAAAAGTCTTAATCAGACCTCAGTGGTTATTTTTACATTTACACTTTCGCCTAAACTCTACACCATATCTGCACACCATATAATTATGATGATAATTAGCAACAATATTTTTGCACTGCTACATCTATGTAAATTTACAATATATATTACTATAAAAAGGGCGGTAAATCTTTTGTTAATACATAAAATAATTTTCAATTGACAGGATAACAGAAGAGTTGTTTCTGATTTTTAGTCTACACACTACAAGTAAAACAGATAGTCTACACACTACAAGTAAAACAGATAGTCTACACACTACAAGTAAAACAGAAACAAGCAACACTTAGCAAGATTAGTGCCAGAACTAAGAGAGTAAAGCTACAAAGTTAAGCTTAGCGACTCTTGACTGACTACTGACTCCATAATGTAATAGTCTATGCCTGTCATCCTTGAGCATCGCCTTTTTTGTATTAATTTTTTGTCCTTTAACGTCTACACATTCTTTTGCATTATTATTATTATTATTATTATATCATAGATTAAGGGCGCTAAATCCCACAATCCTAGTGGAGAATGAATATAATCACTACTTACAATATACTGATAGACAAAATGGATAAGGAATGCATTTCTAAAACTCGAGAGATGAGAACAAGAGGACATGGGTGGAAACGCAAATAAAATATAAGAAAATATTCGTATGCTGTACGGGTGGTCAATAAATGGAATGCACTGAAAAACGAAGTCGGATAAGCCACTCCCATCTGCTATAGGGATAGATTTGACAAAGAATGCAATCAATAGGAAAGTTACATTAAACGAAACAGATCTAACTAGGTTAGCAGGCGGGACAAATAGAGTGACACCTCTATTCCATAGTCATTGTTAGGTTAGGTCAGCACTACTTTCTATCTACTACTAGCTCTAGCTATTCACCACCACTTCTAGCTATCCACCACCATTCGTGGTCCACACTACTCGCTATCCACAGCTCCCTTTTCAGACACTTGGTATCATGACACCAGTTGGACAATTCCTATGCTATATTGCAGTTCCACGTGACCCTACGAGATGGCAACACCTTACTTATTGATAACCAATCACGGAAGCGTGTCGCTCTGACGTCATATGGGAGGATGGGGGCGGTTGCTTTTTATTTCTAGAAAGCATACATTAATCTTTACACGAGGCGTCAAGGTGTCTACTACGCGATTCAAAACCAAGTCTATATACTTTGTCATAATTAAAACGCAGTACCGGAAATAATGTGGAACGCAATATATGAAAGTGTTACAGCAACCAGTGATTAAACCGAACACACAATTTACTGATCAATCAGTACATAATTACTTAGTTGACCAATCATTTGCGGTCGGTCTGGAGTCCATTGTTAATGTGACTAAGTGCATTGAATTTTGTAACTTGCTCATCAAGACTGTAACTTAATTTTGGGGTTCAGTCCCTGAGCCCATTATGCAACCCGTCATCAGACCAAGTCCATTCCATCCAGCGGTCGACCCCAAAGACGCATTCATCAATTGTAACATTCTGTTCATTCAAAACAGAAATTTTCTCGAATACAAATTAATATTATTATATATCAGCATATTGTGCATATTTTGGGTATTGGTTAGGTTAGGTTAGAAGTTTAGGTTCTGTTGGCGATTATTTGTATTTTTAGTACATGGCTGAAACCTTTACAGCGTTATAGTACGAGCAAAAGTCGTCAGCGAAGCACTTGTTCCGGAAGTCTTCGGACGTCATCCATAGTCAGACGTCAGCTCAGCCACAACCAGGAGCCGGTGGCTGAGCGGACAGAACACTGGACGCGTGATCCTGTAGTCCCAGGTTCGATCCCGGGCGCCGGCGAAGAAACAATGGGCAGAGTTTCTTTCACCCTGATGTCCCTGTTACCTAGCAGTAAATAGGTACCTTGGAGTTAGTCAGCTGTCACGGGCTGCTTCCTGGGGGTGAAGGCCTGGTCGAGGACCGGGCCACGGGGACACTAAGCCCCAAAATCATCTCACGATAACGTCATCAGTTGTGAGTCGTGTGTTAACCGCTTTTCATTCATAAACAAGGCGTTTGGCGGGTGCATGGAATAGACTTTGGGCCCTTGTTTAGAGGACGAGCTGCATTATGTGCCTCTGTAACCCTTTCCACTACCGCCCACAAGATGGGTATCGGGTGCATAATAAATAATCTAAACTAACTGACCAATCAGTGCATGTGGTTATTGAGTTTATTATAATTGTTATTTTTATAATCTAAACTTAAAAATATCATAAGATGACACTCGTTCAGACTTTGAGAGGACTTCTGTAGAAGGTATCCTGTTGGACACCTGCAGAAACCACTTAACTCATGCTCCCCAAACAGTTGTATCGATTCCTTACTGAATTCCACTGAAACGAATGGAAGGAGACAAGGTATGATAAACTCTTAAAAGCCATATCCGTGTAAGTGATAAGCCTCTCCTTGAAAAGACGACCAATGGGACCAAGCAACGCTCCCAATTAGACTTGGGAGGATAAGGTATACGCAAGGAAACACAGCTATGCCTGCATTCTTATCCTTTACCTTGAGGTTACCTTGAGGTGCTTCCGGGGCTTAGCGTCCCCGGGGCCCGGTCGTCGACCAGGCCTTGACCAGTGCTGCGAGTACATTACTGAAAGAGATCCTACCGGAGTATTTAAGAGACTTCCAATTGGGATTCATAATCAGCACGCCACAAACAGCCCGGCTCCTGTTCCAGGTAAGTCCACTACGGGCTCACCATAGCCCGTGCTACTTCGAACTTTTTGTTCCAAGTAGCTGAATCTAAAACAACAACTGTGAAAGTTCCTAATGCTGGGAATGGTTCAGTTATTCAGGACAAGCAGCCGACAACCAAGTAAGCTAGAAAGCAACCACAAGCACCAGACAATTTCTACTACCAGATATGTGGTACCAGATACTACTGTGGTCCAGGAGCTAACCACTCAAAAGACCATCAGTCAGCCAATACAAACAACAGTTAACAAGCAACCACCATACAACCAACAGTTAACAACACTCCCCGGGAAACTGCTTTACAACCAAACACGATAACAAAAATATGTTGCAGGACTGGAGCAAACATCAGTAGGTATAACCACAAGGCCATCATCAACAAGCAGTATTGCCGCTATACCAACACCCCGAGCACCGCTATATTGCCAATCTCCATCGGCAGACACCCACCACCACCATCAACAGACACCCACCACCACCATCAGCAGACACCCACCACCACCATCAGCAGACACCCCACCACCATCCGTGACCAAACAATATAGTGAAGGGGCGGGGGGGGGGAAGGAGACTCGCTGGTCCAAATCTCAACCCGTCCTTGCACTATGGCTTAAAGCAGAGACCGTCCTCCCCAGACACATTCGTCAATTTTAACATACTGTGTATTTAAAAATTGGTTTGTTCTCATATATAAATTGTAACAGTTGAGGTGACTTGAGTAGACTGGGGATGGTACCTGACTTACGTGACATTCACAGGGAGGTGAGGTAAGGTCACACAAACCTCACCTACAGTAGTTTCAAAGGTTGGAAGGCTGTCCCTTGTCACCAGATTCAAATCCGTCCATTCAATGGAATTTGGGGATAGACGGGTATAAACGCTTGTCACGAGAGAGGGAGTGGATTACGGGTTATTCATGCCCGTGCCACCTCTTGGGTGACTTAATCTTTATCAATCAATCGAGGGAGAGGAGAGTTGTGTGCTGTGTCTCAGTCCAGACAGGAGTCTGGTGTGTAGTGTTGGGCATCACAGGGGAGAGGGAGACTGACGATCTGGTGTCTACACGCAAGCTTCATCACTACTGTATCTTGAGTAAGTACTGGTCCCTTATGTTCTAAACATCACAAGCAATTCAATTCAATCAATTTCTTGCTGACCAGACCACACACTAGAAGGTGAAATTACGGGTTATTTCGGCAGTCTCCGTGGTGTAGTGGTAAGACACTCGCCTGGCGTTCCGCGAGCGCTATGTCATGGGTTCGTATCCTGGCCGGGGAGGATTTACTGGGCGCAATTCCTTAACTGTCGCCTCTGTTTAACGCAACAGTAAAATGTGTACTTGGATGAAAAAACGATTCTTCGCGGCAGGGGATCGTATTCCAGGGACCATAGGATTAAGGACTTGCCCGAAACGCTACGCGTACTAGTGGCTGTACAAGAATGTAACAACTCTTGTATATATCTCAAAAAAAAAAAAAAAAAATTATTTCAATCAATTTCTTTCTTTATTACGCACCCCATACCCATCCCGTGGGCGGTGGTATGATTGGGGAGCCCCCGGAGTCCCTCAGGGTGACAATTAAGCACCGGCCCCGCCCCATACAGAGAACACTGGGTAGCAAAACCAAAAACTCGGTCCCCAACTAAAAAACAAAAGTTATCCAGTGTCCTCCGGCAGAGCAGAAGCCGGTCCCCCATCACGGCACACCAGGAGCCCACCAAGACATCACCCCAGGCATCTTGCGGCCAAGCCGGCCCCCCGAACACCGTCACCCCGCCGGGAAAACTAGCCAGAACACGTAAAAAATCTATCAATAATCACGTGATCCAAGGCGATATATGCACCAGGCGTCGTAATACCGGGCCGTTGAATAGGGATGCCAAATGGTAGTAGCAAAGCCAAAACGCGAAAACAGAACGTGATCAAGTTCAAGTTCAAGTATGTTTATTGAGATAAGCAATAAATACATCTCAAAGGGATAGAGTAGCTTAGGCTATTTCTACCCCCCTAAGAACGTGATCAGGCGGCTCCCAGGCGGAGGAAGTGTCCAAACGTCCGCTCGTCGTCAAGGTTGAACCAGGAGTCCGTTGGGTGTTTAGGTTCTTAATTTTGTTCATTTATTATGCACCCCACACCCATCCAGTGGGCAGCGGTGGATAGGTTACAGTCACTTAGTTACTACCTCCATTTAGCAAACTGGGGATATTTTCTGTTGGCAATTATTTGTATTTGAAGTACGTAGGTGAAGCATTTCAACCCGTCCTCGACTCAAGTCCATTACATCCAGCGGTCGACCCCAAAGACGCATTCATAAATTTGTACATGCTGTTCATTCAAAACGGGAATTTTCTCAAATATAAATTAATATTATAATATTAATTATTGTGCATATATAGGCATAGGTTAGGTGTTTAGGTTCTGTTGGCGATTATATGTATTTGTAGTACGTGGGTGAAGCATTTACAGCGTTGTGGTTTGAACAAAATTCGTCAGTGAAGCACTTGTTCCGGAATTGTTCGAACGAAATCAGTTGTGAGTCGTGTGTAAACCGTTTTTCATTCATAAACAGGGGGTTTGGCGGGTGCATGGAATCACTTTTGAATCTGTTTGATTCAGCCCGTCCTCCAAACAAAGCGCACCGAGCATGTGCAAATACCACAGTGCATGTGACAGCCTGTATATGTTTAAAGAAAAATCTTACTGTATATAACTGAAAAATAGGCAATACCTCTATATTCCCTTCCAGCCCGTGTTGATTTTGTTTGATGTTGGGCTGAGAGCCATCAACCTCCGGAAGGATATTAAGGCCACGTAAGCGCTTCCTGTCCAACCAGCAAGTATACTTTAGTCCCGGACATAATCCAGGACTAGAGGGAACTGTGTATATACACAGAGATAAAGCATACACCGCTCGGTGTATTTGTGCAGCCTGTATAAATTTTCCCGACATTTCACCCGGATTGCTGCAGCACCCTCGTGAGCATGATTAAATTACATCTGCACTCTCCCTCCTGCTCGGCCCCGGCTGCACTCTCCCTCCTGCTCGGCCCTGGCTGCACTCTCCCTCCTGCTCGGCCCCGGCTGCACTCTCCCTCCTGCTCGGCCCCGGCTGCACTCTCCCTCCTGCTCGGCCCCGGCTGCACTCTCCCTCCTGCTCGGCCCCGGCTGCACTCTCCCTCCTGCTCGGCCCCGGCTGCACTCTCCCTCCTGCTCGGCCCCGGCTGCACTCTCCCTCCTGCTCGGCCCCGGCTGCACTCTCCCTCCTGCTCGCCCCGGCTGCACTCTCCCTCCTGCTCGCCCCGGCTGCACTCTCCCTCCTGCTCGGCCCCGGCTGCACTCTCCCTCCTGCTCGCTCCGGCTGCACTCTCCCTCCTGCTCGGCCCCGGCTGCACTCTCCCTCCTGCTCGGCCCCGGCTGCACTCTCCCTCCTGCTCGGCCCCGGCTGCACTCTCCCTCCTGCTCGGCCCCGGCTGCACTCTCCCTCCTGCTCGGCCCCGGCTGCACTCTCCCTCCTGCTCGGCCCCGGCTGCACTCTCCCTTCTGCTCGCCCCGGCTGCACTCTCCCTCCTGCTCACCCCGGCTGCACTCATCCACCTGCTAGCCCCATCCAAGGTCAGGCTTCATCAAGCATTTACGCAGCCAATTACTAAATCTGTACATCTTTCCTTAATCATGACGGCTTTGTTTACATTCATTAAACAGTTTACGAGCTTGGAAACTTTACAACCCAAGGTTATTATTTTTATAAACAACCTCGTAGTGTTTCGGGGTTCATAAACTGTTTAATAAATGTAAACAAAGCAGGCATGAGTGAGAAAAAATGTACAAGTTTCGTAGGTGATTGCATAAATGCTTGATTAATCCTGGGCCAAGTTATTTTGGTCTCTGTAGTACTCTTGGGTTCGTTCTTGACTCTAAGTAGGAAATCCTGGGTTCGAGTCCCGGTCGGGACAGTAAAAGCTGGTTGTTTCCTTTCACCTAGCAGTAAATAGTCAGTCAGTCAATTGTTAAGGAGTTGCAACTTGGGGAAGGTCAGTAATTCAACCTTGCGGTGAGGTGAGGATCTCGATACAAGTCAAAAGTAAATGTGTGTCCCCAACAATACGAATTAGTTATTATACGCTGCACTTAACTTATTGGTTTGATACAGAATTTCAAAGCTAATGGGGACTTTGTAATATCCTGTACTATTTTCCTCAATGAACTATTTTGTTGATTTAGAAACGGCCCTTCATAAGACTGCGACTATTGTAATGACCGATAAGTTGCCATACCAACATACTAAATAACCATTCTGCAACAAAAGCTTGCCATCCCATTGGCATTCATACCGTCTTAATAATGGTAGTTTAATACTGACGTGGCTGCATTCACCCAATGATGAGCTGTGACTCAATGAGACTTAACTCCACTGTAGATACCAGATACAAAGACGTGGCTCACCATCCCCCCCACTATACCAATACCATTTCTTTCCACTGTGTAAATAAGGCTGAAAATATTATTGGGCTGAAAGCAACCAGGTTCAATAATAGATTGATCCCACTTTCCTGTACTTGGATGTGTTGCAAAACAGTCCTGAACAGTTTCCAGAACCCTTGACATATTTCAAGGGCTGTGGCAAACACTGCTGGACCCAGAGTTGGGAATGGAGAGCATTTCATCCAATAGTCAATACCAATCTATATCTATTCAAGAGAATGTCTAAGATTGAAGGCCAGCTTCTCTCAACTTTTCAAGATGCAACATGTGTGGTATGGGAGTCTCGTTAGCCAGTCAGGGTTGACCCAAATGCCACCCTTCGAGAAATATTGACTCCTATAGCAAACCCGTGGTTTTCATGGTCTGAAATGGGGGAAAAGAGGTGGGGGGAGAGCAGAAATAGGGAAGGGTGTAAGAGAAGGGGATGGGGTAATTGGGGGAAGACACAGTTTGGCATCCCATCAAGTACATTCAATTAAATGCTTTATTAGCAACTTAATTCACAAATTACCTTATGATGCATCTTAACCAACTGTACTTCAAAACTACCATTGAGAACAGCGCTGTACTACAGAAATTAGTAAAAAGCATACCATACATATTAAGTAAATGATTGGAAACTATAGTTTAGCACCATTACAAAAATTAAAAAAAAATCAGGTATCATTTGGAACCATATATATCTTGAATGGAGATTCCTAACAAGGAAGGTTAGCTCAATTCAACTCTTTTTGGACACAGGCAGCGTGTATGTGGACTTTCCAAAGTCAAAATAATTTAGTTAAGTAAATTAGGAATCATAGTATTACTAACTCATCAAGGACTCTATATCTGAATAGGAAGTCATAACTACAAACAGCATTTTTGGTAAAACAAGGCAAATGCAGGTCTATCATATCAGCCATCTTTACAAAACAAGTTGCATGCTGTTCATGTTAATTTGTGTAGTGTTGGCACTTAAAAATCAACGGCAGTATTTGGACAAGCAACAGCAGAAACTTGCCTTTGGCTAGTTAACATTTCAATCACAATCATTAAAACAACAAGTATTCTACCGAGCCAATGTCCCAGTAATCCTTATTATATACAAGTTTTCTTGCATTGCTCTATAATGCGCTCACAATATGAGCAGCAAGGCTGTGCAAATGTGGCAACACCAAATCATCAAAGATGAATCATCATTATTAACATTAATTCAACATCGACCCAATGCCTCTCTGATGGTGCCTACGAGGTTGATTGTACACTTTAGGTTCAAAGGTACAAGCACTTTCTTTTGGTTGTCAACAAATCATGCAGTTCCTTAACTATACTGTAACTTAATGAATAAAATACACTCGGGTGTGAAAAGAATCTCAGTGGCCACAATATCAAGTGCAACAATAATTCAACGTTATCAATGTTGGACTAATGTTGATTGAACACCAAGTGACTTTGATATTGTGCCCATTGGGATGTACAGGAAACTAAGAAAAAGTTGCAAGCACTTTGGTAACAATGACAATTTACTTTTAACCAATCCCTTTTTCAGCAATGTCAAAGAGAAACGGTTGAATAGATGCAATGATCAAGGTATAAATAATCTTTATTCCAAAGTGCACCCTACTTCTAACATGACTGCAACGTCATCCAGGATCTCCTCTGGTATATATTAATAATTACGATACTCTGCTTTGCATTAAACTTGTAATTTATAAGATGACCAAAAAAGATTAGTTACAAATTAATTATGCATTTTCGTTAATATTCACAAATGAATGAAGCAAGATGGGAGCAACTGGGGAGAAGCAAGAGGGGGTGAAGGAGGAGAGAGAGAAGCAAGAGGGAGGAGAGAAACTAAGATGGGGGCAGGAAAGGAGGAAATGAGAATGTGGCCCAAGAAAATAAAAATGAGTGACAAGTGCATACAAGTCACAATTAGTCAGACATGTCTCAAACACACTTTCCAGTAATGTTTACACAAGTTTGAAAACTTTTAAAAGGTAACTGGGAAACATTTGTACACAATAAGCCAGTAAGATAATTTGTCATTAAATTTGTAATCAATAGTGATAATGGAAGTGCACAATGTTAAGTCAAAATAAGATGCACAAAATCTTTAGACCAAAGCAAGTTGTTTAACTAGTATGCCTAAGTAGTTAAAGTCAGCTTGCACCAGTATCTTTTAGATCTTAAGATCCTCTTGTAGGGCACCCAGTTTAATACTTGGTGTACTGTACCTGCTATTTAAATGTTTTTAATTCAATATATTCACCACATTTTCCCATACTTGCCAGACTATTCACCCCCTAAATGTCGACAAAATTAAGTCATTACCATATTAAAAATAGAATAAAAAAAATTGCATTTTTGGGGGAAAGGCTGTGGGGAACGTTACCATTGCATTTGTAGTAGACTGCTTCAGTTTAGTAACAGCCATAAAAATTCAAATTATTTTCCATTTATGCCAAATGTAAAGTTTGCCAGCAGTATGTACACTGCCATAAGACTGGGTTACTTTAGTCGTTAAAACCTTAAACGCCCAGTCCTGTCATGTCAAATACCACTATCACATACTCTAAGACCCCCCTCCCTTCACGCCCAATAATCAACAGTAAAAAATATGTGCACAATTACAATAAAAAGGAAAATTAAAAGAAATTATTGTGTTATCCTTTAACCTGGAATGACTTACATATGAAAGCATACAGATGTCAAGATAGTTGGACAACTTGCATATCCCAATGATGGAAAGCAGTGCAAAAAGTGACCAGCAGTTTTAGCATAAACAATAAAGTACAAAACACTATGGCATGCTAACCAGATTTAATACCAAATGATAAGACCCACTGATCAGATACAGTAAATTCTCGAGCATGCTAACCCACGTGAAAATTGAGCGATGCAAGTAGTTAGAACAGAGTCCGTCAATATGCATTGTGTGACATTAGAGCTGCAACTCTGAAAGTCAATGATGTTTTTCTTAAATAATACGTACCACATTTCTTCATTCCCATGTCCTCGTGAATATTAAGTTATTTTTTAAATAATGTGATCTCTTAACCTCTGCATTTATGCTAGAGAGGACTTGATATGCCTACATTGGATTATACATGCATACATAAGGTTTAGACTGAGGAATGTCATAACACAGGGTTGAAGGTCACATACATACTAAATTTGACTTTAAATATTTCATCATATAAATCTTTATAAAACAAATAGTTCTTTAACTTTTTATTCCTCACAATCCTGACTGCCATGATTTTCAATTTTCAACCAGCACAACAAATACAAACCAATAAAAAAATTAAATACCACTCACTGCCATCTACACTGCATGCACAATGCCAATATGAAAACAGTCGTGGCAGCTGTTCTTAAAACACTTCCAGGGAGACGGGAAACAAGCAGTGAGCTAACAATATCAAAGCAGCTTTAAATCATTAAGAATCACTAATTAGCCTTCTCTACACTGTATAGTGTATATTCACAATATTAATTACAAATTTTCTTTTATTTGCAATAAAAAACTATTCATCAAATAATTCATTACTTTGGTATAAACTCATGAAAAAAAATATGATGGTGAACCAACATGACTTCTTCATGAAGTATTTGAGGGCTAGCTCTAGGATCACAATCTGGAGCTCCTAATGCCAGCAAGTTATGTCTGGAAGGCAGCACATATGAAGGGTTATGGTGGTGACTGGTCCAATACCACAGCTGCACAACCCATAAGCACCAGCCAGCTGCTGTGTTTACATATCTTCATCACCCAGATTGTGCTTCACCTTGCTGAAGTCAAAGTCTTCCCCAGTTCCTCGGCGGTAGATAGAGAGCACATCCAAGCACGTTGTCTCAAAATGGGACGTAGCATCATATGATTCAGAAATAAATATCTGGTTTTCCTGACCATCCTCAAGAGGCTTATAGATGGGAGAAACAATGACGAACCTAAGAAAAATAAAGGAATTATAAATTACCTTAAAGAATCAAAGTCTACTTTAAAATTGGTGTTAATCTTGCATGGAATTTAAGCACATCTGATAATTCACTTACAACATTCAGTATTACATATCTATACCCAGAATGTCTTTTTCCTACTCAAAGCATAATAAACTTACTTCTATACCCAGCAAACACTTCTTAAATAACCAACTGAAATTCCTTCATTTTGCCAAAACCAATCACTTCAAAACCTTCTTGATTGACTTTAAATAATTATGAAATACCATGAAAAACATGATTGTGTGAAACCGAAACTGAACTTGAGTGCATTTCATTAAAATTAATATTAATCTCATGTGCATGCGTGTGTGTTTAGAACACTTATTTGTACTTTTATTCCTTTAAAGACTTCTCAAACCAAACACCCACACAGGGTTAGTGCTTAAAGATGAAAATATGAAGGGGCGAGATAAAGCTCTATTTGGAAGAAAAAATAAGAAGCACGATCCATATATGGAAGGAATAGTAACTAAGCCTAAGAGGTTTGGGGGAACAGCTATCAGACGACTGAAGGTCGATTTTTCCAATTGTTCAATGTACTTTAATATGCAACACGTTTTTATTTTACATCAAGTTAATTTTAATGCTCACTTTTGCTTAATGGGTCCCAAAAGGTTGAGGCCGGGCAAGATTTCTGCTTCAGGGTTATCAGTTTCCACGGTAGTGCTCACCATGGCCACAAACCAGCCCTTGGCTGCCACCTGATGTGTGTACGACACCAGAGATACATAGATATCTGAAAAGTACCAAATTCATCAAAATGTGTTATCCGTATATAATAGTCCAATTCCCACTACATGGCTATTACATTCTATTATACTGTACAGTACTTTTGAACCAAAAGCATTTACACTATCACCCCAACTAAACAAAACCCTAGTGGTAGGGCTTCCAACTGCTGCAACAACTTATAAAATTCATTTATCTTCAAAATTTGTATTTCTTACCAGAAGTCCTATTAACTTGTTTCTGTGGGATGATGATTTGTGTCGAGAGAGCATCCTTTGTGTTACTAATTGGGTGATCCATCAAGCAGATTGCACGTACCACTTGCCCAACCTGAAAAATAATTTAATTCAACTATGGAGAAAAGCAAATAAAAGATGAAACATTCACCCAAAGCCCAGGATTATAGGAAACAATTTAAAATTAGCTATTTTCAGCCAGTAATTTACAAATCACACAGTTCATAGAAATGCCACCAGGAGTAGACTGAGAATTTTTTGTCTTTGAACTTTGACATATATAAGGTTGGCTCCTGACAAAATGAACAATGTGGGGCAAAAGTGGGGACAAGATTGGAATAAAGAATTATATCCATTTTAAGTTCATATAAAATTCATCAAGTTGCAATACCTTGCAATTCATCAAGTTCATCTCAAATTCGATCAAGCCCTTGGCACAATATTTAACACCAACTAATCTAAACATTTCTCAACACTGTTGCCAGTACAAAGTCTGGCAACAGTGTTTTGTACAACCATCCACAGCTAAATCAGCATACATTTAAACTAAATTTCCAGTCACTTTTGAACCAATTTCTCTCGCTACATGTTTTGTTTAGAGAGTACACTTAATTATACACGCTTTCAGAGAATATAGCAGCAGTCCTAATACTTACATGTTCAAGGAACATTAATTTTATTAGCTGAATTTCATTATCCAAAATCAGGTTTCATTGACATTCTGAATCAGGGTCACCACCTTCAAGAAAGTATTTAGCAATATTCTAGTATAGCTTCAAGCAGATTGTTTAAGCATAGCATCTGACCACATCGATCATATTTATACAGTATCTTAGATGTATACCTTAAAACGGCATAGAATTTTTGTAATCGGCTTACTGTATTCAGCACCGTTTGATCATAAGCCAATTTGATGTGTATTGCTGCAAACACAAGCTGATCATGATTGCATTAAGCTATGCATGATGCATATATTTACAATTTATAAAACTTTGAATGCACTGCAGGGCATTTTTCTAACTACATACACACATGTCTGAAGTAATTGTGTGTGTGTGTTTACTGGAAAACAGTTCATGGCACAATCTGCCCTATAGCAGATATAGCAGCTAAACATAGCTCATCATGTAATTACACATTCTGTTCTTCGGCCAAGTAACTTTTTCTTCTTTATTGCTTGCAGCTCTACTTCTCAACCCTGACTGATTAGACCTTATCAAGTTTCTTTATTAGTTTCTTCTTCAGTCATTAATCATAGCTCCAATATTTCTTGGGTCTGCTATAAACAAAAATCTGGCATGGTATGACAGCAAGTGTTCCAATGATGCTAAAATATATTATCCATTTCAAAATGCCCCCTTGTGGGCATAGCTTATCAGCTGTATCACCCATAATTGCTCTGCTTGCTAGAATTATCATTATGCTTTGTAAATTACCTTCTGGAAATGTATGAACGTTTGTTAATTTTCTATTCACCTGGGTTCTAGGAGTCTTTATTGTTCATTATCTTTATCCAGCAACATATCAATGATGTGCAGATGTTATATTTTTACTTTTGTTGAAAATTTTATGAGGACTTGAGAAATATGAGGAATGCTTAAATGTTTATACAAATGTTTTGATTCAGCCCAGTCATGTAAATTCTATTATCAAAGCATTTTGCATCTATACTCGAACAAATTCTTTTGTGAACATTTTGACACCAAATTTATATCAATGACCCAAAACCTAACAGAAAACATTGAGTATAAATATTTTAGGTGTTTGAGCATAAATCCCCAAGATGCCTGGAATGTGGACAGTCTAGAATGCACCCATGGATCGTGACATTTTAAATGTCAAAACCACCCATGCCTTCCAGTCATTATGCTATAATGTACTTTACTGACCATGTTTGTAACAGGCCATTATTTGTATGCACAATTAATGAGATGTTCTTTGTAATGAAAACTTAACAGCAAGTCAAAGGCTCAACACCAGTCCATGTTTAACACTAGTAGCATCCCTCAAAACTGTTTAGTTATACTGACCTTATCAGCAGGATACAGATACTATCATTAAGCGTAGATACTATCATCATTAAACGTAATCCAGACATAACTAGAAACCTAAATCACAAAATTTATGCTAAACTGACATGCAAATAAGAGGAACATTTAGAGAAAACTTGGCCAAGTATTTTCCTAACATGGTATAAAAAATACACCACAAAGAAAAAGAGGTGCAACAAATCAATTAAGCATCATACCTTCTCCACTCTGTCAGGCACATAGGTTGGGTCACAGTACACTTGCTTGCATTTGGCGGTCTCATTCCCTGATCGTACACCAATCACCTTACCACCCTCCATAACAATCTCGTCAATAGGCTTGTCCAGCATATAGGTACCTCCATAGATTGCAGACAACCTATAAATTGAAAATGGTACTACAAATGAAAAGTTTATACAAGGCATGTTTCCAGCAGGTGTAATACAAAATCAAGAGCATCCACTAAATTTTTTTTTTACTATAAAAGCATGGCAGCAAAGCTACCAATTTTTAGTTTAAGATTTATAACCATTCAATAGTATTACCGAATAAAAAAAAAACGATTATATATAACTTGAGAGCCTAGAATGTTTATTTCTTTAAATGTACATTCCATCGTATGTTGTTTTAGGTACTATGCAACATTTGAAATTCCTACACAATACACTATTTGAGGCATCCAGTAAACATCTGCCATCTTTAAAAATTACTAGATTTGTGCCGTTTTCTTTTGCTCCAGGCACAGTTTTAATATAGGAAGAAACCTTATTTTGAATACCATTTTTCTGTGCGAAAGATAATGCCCTATGTAACCCTTGTATAATGTAATGGTTAAAACATGATGAAAATAAACGTGAATCCATTATCAGTTAAGTAGACATTGTTACGAAACTTTCTTCATAAACTTGGCACCTGGCAACTGCAAAGTTGCCTACTCACAATGTTGAGACTGTTGAGGCCAGAATAGCAATTCCTCGTTAACTAACAGGACCTGAAGTTGCAATTATACCAAGATGGAAACGTGTCACAAACATTGCGGATACATTTGAATCTTTTTTTTTTTTTTTAAGTTACTGAGGATATAACTATACTACCTAAACTAGCTTTAATTGGATTAAAAACAAAAACCACCCGAGAAGATTTGAACTTGGGACTGCTAAATTCCTTATTCAAATAGGATAACTATCAAATACATTTAAAGCAAGCTACAGGGATTGGCAAGGTAAACAAGAGTAAGAAAACTGTATAAGTTATACAGCTGAATAAGGAGACATTACAAGATATGGTTAGAACTCACCTAGCAAAACCTTGAGGAAGTTCACCAAGACCGTAAAGAGGATAAAGGTAGGGAGATTTGCCGTAGCGGGCAAGGGAGTCGCTGTACAACTTGATTCTCTTGAGGGTGTCACTTGCTGGCTTATTTAAGTAATCATCATCTCTGAAGAATATTAAGAGCAGTTAAAAGAACTTACTTATTACCATTACACACAGATCACACTAACGTGATGCATCAAATGAACAAATGAACAGATTTGTTCATTTACTTATTACCATTTTCCTGCTTATGCGAGTCAGGACATCAGACGGCAGGAATCCAGAAAACGGTAAATATTTATCAAAATATTAATTGTGCATTTATTATATTAGTCCCACTATTACAGATAAACTTCCACTAACTCCTACATATGTCCACAACAGCAGCACTTTAGTTTCTACTTGACAGGTGCAGTGCTAATTGTAAATTATCCAACACAACAATGCATTTAATTTAATCCCTAACAAACCACTTCTACTGAGCCTTGTTCCTTGTATCAATTCTTTTAAATAAAAAAAATTAAGTAAAATTGTACATCTCATTTAATATGAAATATAAAAGACACTATTAGTAACCAACCCACAGAAGTGAAAATGACAATTTATATTAACTAAAGTCTAGCTACAGTGATAGGGAGGTGTAACTTTTAACATTGAAAGATCTTACCTGTAGAGTGCCAGAGCATGTCCAGTAAAATCAATGGTATTCTTGTCAAGGTTGAAATGAGCAAACACTGCACTCATATTTGTGTTCTTAGGATCAAAACCTGGCATGGCTTTCCATGTTGTAGGATCGTCATCACGGTAATCCTGGGTGAAAACTAGGAAGTTCTTGAACCTACGCTTCTCAAACATACCCATCAGATCTAGAGAAAAATTAATCAAATTTAACCAAAATGGGAAAATCTTTTACACCACAGAATGTATATATAATTTTATCTGTTCTTACTTTTAATGGGGTTGGAAAATATCAACAAAGAGGGGTATAAGAGTTTTTATAAAGAATGGGGCATAAATATAAGACAAAGGATGAGAGCAAGAGGGAAGGATGCAGATATGGAAAAAAATACACCAGTGACAATAGGTGTGTATATTTTGACCTATTCATTACTCCCACTAGCCTGTCGGTGAATAACTTACGGATACACCCAAAAAAGAACAGGAAGTAATCAAGCAGCACATTAGGGTTTTATTAACTATATACCATATATATATGAAGGAAGATTCAAGTTATGATCACAAGTGACAATATTGACAATGCAGTTCGTTATACGAAGGATTTAACATGTCCTCACCTGACGTTAAGGCTTCCTTTTCATCAGCAGGAACTTTGGAAATTTTGTTGCCCTTGTACACATAACTACCCTCAATCGACTTGAATTCCAGGTAACGAGTGACACCAGTATGGATGAGAAGTTTTACTAACTGACCATTAGCCATCAGAAATTTGGGAATGAGGTCAACATTCCAGTCCCTGAAGAGAAAAATACTCAAGTTAAAAAAAAAAATACAAAAAATAAAAAAAAAATTGCCAAGTCATAACTTATACATGAAGTAATGAATACGGTAGTCCCATAAACCTGATACGACTATTACAACATGCTATTATAGCACAAAATTATACATAGTAATGTGTGCATGCCATCATTAGTGCAAACAGACCATGTTTATACAAAAACAATCACATTGAAAAACTACATAATAGGGTTCCTTTCAAGAGAACACACTTAAAAGGATTTACCTTGTACGACCGTATGTCTCTTCTGGTGGTGGAAGATTGAACTTTGTGAAGAGGTCCTCCAGGGGCGTAATGGAGGCACTCTCTCCACCGTAATACTTGTTACGGTCCATATGCAACACTTTCTTTCCCGATACCGACAACATGCCAGAAATGATACATTCCTGCAAGTGAAAATGCACAATGAAAATTATGCATAATGTAACCCTTAAATATACTGTATAGTGCACCATAAATTATGCTTAATATGCTATTGCAACATGAAGTGACATTTTAGTTCATTTTTTAAATAATACTGTAGCTATAAACAGTAACAATTGGCAATGGGCCAGGCAGAAAATCAAGGTGGCACATAATATATCAGGGGGAAAGTGCCAAGCCATTACGACTATATAGCACTGGGAAGGGGTCAGGATAAGGATATGGGATGGGACGGGGGAAGGAATGGTGCCCAACCACTTGTGGACGGTCAGGGATTGAACACCGACCTGCTTGAAGCGAGACCTTCGCTCTACCGTCCAGCCCAATTGGTTGGGCTCAAGGTGGCACAGAAGCGCACTTGCTTGCTGTCCAATGACATTTAATTTGGCACTCAAAGGAGGGAAAGTTCGACGTGTTCGTATTAATAAGCAGGTGTCAAGCAAGGTACTAGCATTTGTGTTTATTACTTGTGCATCTTCATCAGTCATACCTAATGGCATAGTTTGAGTAAGGAAACTTACAATCTATGTAATATTAGTACCTTATTAACTTTGAATATCAAAATGTGATCATACATCATGATTCCATAATGATCAGTATTAATAAATTGAATTCATTTTAGGATTATAGTATTGATAGAACAAATATTTACATTATTAAATCCAAAAATTAAAATATAAAATGTTAAAATTTGAAATTATAACATACAATTCATTGGATCCACCAAAATCAGAGCCTTCATATAGCAGTATTCCCTATCAGACCAAACCCACATACTAGATATTCCCTAATAAATTTGGATTTGACCAAGACAATACAAATCCCAAAGCCCCCTAGGCAAAATCCTGATCATCAGCATAAAGTAATTTCAACCAAATACTGTACAGTATTTGTTTACAGATGAGGAGCCACAATAATGTGGCTGAAGATATGATGAATAAACCACACCACTTTACAGTCTTTGGTACCCTTAACCCTCTAAATGTGCACCTTAAATTTGCTAAATCTCCTGGGGTGCATAACAATATATATATTTTTTCTTTTCTGTATTAAAGCATTGTTTCTGGGGGTACCAGTAGAATTTTTTAATTCTAATCAGTTTAGTTTTGCCGAAGCGAGGACAAGGGTTGTAAACGTCAAACTGAGAATTAATTTCCAAATTGATTTGTAAGAGACTTCATCATTAATATCTTATTATCCATACAAGTAAGTAATTTTCCAAAAAACGCACCAAACTGGGAAGGCTATGTAGCACCATCAAATGTGCAGAATAATCAGAGGGAGCTAAACATCAAGGATGCCAATACAAGAACAGAAACGCATAAAAGGCAAACGATATCAAACTTGTTATCCATACAAGTCCTTGAAATTTTGCATGGCATCAACGGTTTCGAGCACCAGTAAATTAATGGTGATTCATCCAAAAGTGCCAAGTTATTTTAAATAATTTCCAGAAAGGAAGCAAAGGTTTTCAGGATTGTTTCCAATACTGTATGATTAACAATTGTCAAAGGTCTAGTGTTAAATTGCATCCATGGAATCTTTAGAACTTGAAAATTTTAAATAACCTGTACTGTACACATACTTATTTTGATTGAACAGCATAATCCATTCATTGATATGCATATTGCATAGTGAATTTACACAACGTTTTAGAAAATACTGTACCCAAGCATATACTGTACATGTTTGACGAGGTAAATAACAAAATTGAAAAAGCTCAGTCCCAGATACTCCAAGCTCATTATGTGAGATTTAAACATGACCTGGTATGCTTAGATTAAGCTAGAGGTGGTCATACATACAGGTACTGACACATTATTGAACAATTTTTAGATTTTATTTGGTGCACTGGAAGGTACAGGAGCAGATAACTTTCAACTCTTGCTAACAGTAGTCAGATTTATTAAGCCAACACGTTTAGGGACATACAAGAATGAGGTGGTAATGATGTGCCAAGCTTCACTGAAATTCATTGAATGAATCAGATACACTGTACAGCAAGTTAGACGAGTGAAGAAAGATCAGGAGCAACCATCAAAAGATGACCAAGGGTGAAGGACAACTGTTTATAGCATTGCATCTATGGAAAATCAGGTTTTGAGTTTAAAACAGCTGACTTGTAAATAGTTTTCAAATGTATCCCCATTCATAAATTAGGAGATTGCCCACATTTGAATATAGTAGTCATCCATACAGCCTACAAGATGACTATACACTTATAGTAAATAACGCTAAAGTATATGAATAAAATAAAATCAATAATTCAGTGGACGTTTATCTACATTAAGCCATATGTAAAATACTCTATATTGTAAAGAAAAATGACATGACTTAATCTGCGAGAAAAAGTTAGTGCCAACTCTTATGCAAGATCACCATAATGACAGACCCCCACAATGATTCAAAATGTTCATGACCTGCATACCTTATTATATTGGTTACCAATAATTTCTACAAAAGTTATATTAAAAAAAATCATTAAATATAATTTTTGAAATAAGTGAAATTTGGAAAGTGCTGAAATATAAAAACCAAATAAGAGCAATGTAGGGAAAATTTAGTGTTCGATAAGAAAAAAAAAAATTGTGACACGTACAATGGGCAAGGGCCAAAAATGAAGAAAGGACCTAATTAAAAAATGGTCGAGTCAATATGAAGCAAAGGACAAAGTTAATGGAATATGCTCAAAGAGAGAAGAATTATAAATAATTCAAGCTATGCTAACATTCACTGCAACACAAGTTGAAAGATAAGTTATACAGCAACTTGAGGAATTATATATGAAATAGATTTAATGAACTGAAACAATGTTTGGGAGGCTTTGGGAACCTGGTCCACATTATCTCGCTTGCAAACTCATTTATAATGTATCAATTATTTCTCCACAACTTTAACCTTCATGAAGAATACCAGCAAAAGATTACTATTAAAATATTAAAACAGTTGCAATCATAGTAATTGGCCATTTTTTCCAATTAGCCATACAATAAAATAGGGAAGTATGATAGTACACTATTATATAATATTTAGATGGAACTATACATTAAAGATCTTAAGGATGTGTTGCTACCCCAAAGCTTCAACAGCTGGCAACTCTCACAAATGTAAGACTTCAACACTTGAGTAGCCCACGGCCATGACTCGGCAATACTTCAACAATACAGTAGATCAACATCAGTCCATTTAGCCATGGACACTGTAAAACTATGACTTGGAAAGTTATCCTAAAACCTTTAGAGCAAACAAAGCCGTCAGAAAATTGGCTGACCACGAAATTTTTCAGTCATGAACTAGAAAGCTGTGTATCTCACATCAAATTACAATGTGAGCAAATTAATGGTAATACAGTATATACGGATGTGAAAATTTCCCGCATTCCTAGGCGTGCTGTTCGTGGAACAAGTACTGTACATCCTATTTCTTCACACTAATTTCCTGTTTAAAATAAGGCCTATTCCAAATTTGCAATTAACTATACATAGGAAACTATATACATTTAGTACTGTACTAAAAACATAGGAAAGTTCAAATTCAGATGCCAAACAAAATACTAGCAGCATTAATTCAAGTGCAATGTATTGACTTGACATGCAGGCATGTGTGCAGTGTGCAATGGCAGAGAGGAGACTGACACACACAGTTGAGGCTCACGCATGACTGACTCCACACCACCAAGTGTGACTCATCCCCTTGGGGTTGCCAAACTCCCCCTTTTACTTTCCACTTCCTGATAACCATGTAGTCTGAACAATACTTTACAAATCAATATAGTGCAATTCCCAAGCATATTTATTTTGTGCAATACATTAAAGGATAATTGTCTTTACTAAAAATTAAATTCTGCTTCAGTCTCCTACAAACCCAGACAACCATTACACCCCCACATGGCTTACAAAATATAAAGTGAGGATATGAAGACCACTTCCAGTCACTCCATCAGAAATGGGTAAACAGGTCATTCTTGTACAAAATAAGTTTTATACTTTAAGAATACAGTACCAGATAACTAATGAAAAAGAGTCAATGACTTGCCAGATGCTCAATCATACAATCTACACACAGTACCAACACTTTAAAGTATCAAAACGTAACTAAACTAATTTTTCAACCTACACATGCAAACAATTGCAACGGGAATTGAAAACAGGAATTTGAAGAGTATGTAAAATATATTTTTGAGCACAATGTCATCAAATGCTTCATTATCTTTAAGAAATTGCCATGGTAAGAAGAGTACATGGAAAGGTTATGATTAAAATGTCAAGGAATAATGGAAGATTGCAACAAGAACTACACAAACTAAACAAGAAAATGTACTCTAGGTGTATAGGATATAATTGGTTCTACGTCAGCAGTTGAGGGGCTGGCCTGGATCAAACTTTCTACAGCTCATGTACCAGAGATCCAACATTGACAGGCTTTAAGATTGCTTGTCAGCGAGCCATTTGCTGAAACTAAACTCGTTAGCCAGTACTTGCCTACATTTTAAATTTCTATATTAAACCTCATTCTCATTCAGTCCCCCCCCCCCCTCCCAGTAATGAGGTGGAAATTTGAAATAAAGCATATACTAACTGCACAAAACAGCCTTCCCATTCACCAACTTTCCAGAAAACTTATTAAAGTGTAAAAACATACCTAGCTCTTACTCTTACACTTTATATGTAGTTCTTACACTTCAGAATATTTCCAGGGTTTGTGCTACACAAAATAAAAGGGAGATGGGTAGGGAGGGAGGATAACTGTCATTCTAAGGTGGTCACTAGTAGTGTATGAACTGCCCTAGGTATACATTTCAATCACAGCTGATTGAAGGAGGTATTATCAGCTCCCTAGGGTATGCCAGACAAGAAGAAATGTAAAGCCTCTATTTCAAAAATTATTATACCTTTTCTCTGTAAATGCCATATATATTATAAAATATGGACAGAGAATTAATGGGCATATAGTGGGTGAGCATGTGGGGGACTGGAAGTATTGGTATAGGAAGTTTAGATATGGTATTCCTACTTAATGCAAGACATACTAAACATCTAACATTTTAAAACCTACCCGGCCTTACCTAACATACCTGCATATAATTATGAATTTTTAAACTAGCCTTGTTAGACACCTGTGTACAATTTGACTGTACCCCCACTGCTTATTACAGTACCGTAAGTACAAAGTTATTCAACTAACCCTCAAGAAGCTTTCAGATATCATCCACCTTTCAATTAGGATTTGTTTACTTCCTAACAAAAATCATAAGGAATCAAGTACTACACATTTTAAACAAAAGATGGACTTCACACACAAATATTCAGTTGAACTAGTCACTGTTCTTTAAGCTGAGGCCACAAAAAACTAGGGAAGAAGACATTTCCCATCAATGCAAAAGCTGCGTACACATCTAAACTATTCCCTATTGAACTGTCAATAGCTTACAAATAGTGAAGATGGGGATTTTACAACTATACTGTGAACACTATTAATGTAAATCATGTACTGTAATTCACTAGGTTATTTCTGAAGTCACATTTAATAGTTAAAGTTGTTAAGTTATTAAACATAACGCACTATGTAGGATAGTGAATTTTCCCTTGGAGGGGAAGGCTTTAGAAATGGCTTACACCAAGTGTTTTACAAAACTAGGTGAAGTTAAGTGCAGAAAAAATCAAGCTTATCCTATTTTATATAAAATTTTCAAACATGCTACTTTGGAATGCTTTTATATATGCAACTCATTCATGTTCTTTCTGATGATTTGAAATTATTTTTTCTAGCCTACGATAAATGTTTGAAAATAACAGTACACATCCTTGAGTCAAGTATCTGAACATTGATTGTCAATTAGTTAACCTGCAATGCAGCATACCACTTCAAAAATTGCTCTTTTGGTGCTCTTCCCCCCCCCCCCCCCCCGAATTATTTTGCGCAATAGTGGCTTCATAGGAACAAATCCACAAGGGCCGTGACATGGCTTCATAGTTTGTGTAACTCCTGTCCCTACAACTTGTACATTACTCCTATGCCCATTGTACACACATTTTGAATAAACATTGTATTGTAGATACTGGTACTGTATAATATCACCACTTTATTTGAGCAAGATACAGTTTTAACAATGGACCAAAACATATGACGTCTTTATCGCATGCTTCCTTTTGTTTTCATGGTCACGCGCCTTTTTTTTCCATGGTCACACGCCTTTTTTTCCCCATTCTGAATGTACAATACTGTATTTCAAGAGGCATGGAGAGACCATTTGGATTTTGGAACTGTAGAATACATAAATGTATTCTACAGATACAAATGAAGCATAATAGTGTTGAGAAAGGCATACAAATTTTATTATAAAATGTTTAAATTTTATACTTAAAAATCTCTTGTCAAAATGTATTGTACAGTATAACAGTATCTGGCTGATACCATTTCTTTTGGTAGGTGATATCAATATGAAATCACATTTTGCACTACAATGCATTTAGACTAAAGTGTCTAGTAATTGCAGATAAATTTACAATTTACATTTATAGAAGAATAGGATTTTACAAAATATAAAAATGGCAATTTTTATTCCACTAGAAATCACGACAAACTAATGAACTAAATTGTTCGTCGCTTCTGAAGCCGAAATACACCCACCACCCATTCAAATACCGTAGTTATCTAAAATATTGCAACATTACATCCTTTTCAAAATACTCGACACTAAATGTAAGGTAATTTATTGATTTATTTATAGGCACAAACAATTTAGGTGCCTAGCGAACTTACCCAACATGCTCGTCCAGCTCCTTAGCCTATAGGGCTCAGTCTCCCATCCATAATACAGCCACATAAGTTACAGGTAAATTTTTTTTATACATTTAAAAAAAAAAAAAAAAAGCATGTTACATGCCGACAATAATAATCACTTTACCAAATAAGGCACTCATTTGGGAATATTTATATACAAAAACCATTCAATTGATTTTTTTTTTTAATTTTAGATGCCCAACTGCCAGAACCCTCTCTAGGCATGCCATGCATAAAATGTGGTTCGTAAAGTTTTACGTGTTCAATATCCTTACAAAGATGAAATAACCAATAATAAAAAATAAATAAGACATGATCCAAATGCTGTGTATAAATCAATTGGCATAATATTCAAATACACCCAAAAGGAGCTTACTTAAATTTTCATTCCGATTTTACAGAAAATCTTAAGCCAAGAAATCTGGGAGGTTATCCGTCGATAACCAGATAACGCAGAACAGACAGAGGGGCGTCCGCAGATAACTGGGCAGCACAGGTGGCAGAGGTAGTGGTGATCAGTGAATAACAGGCAATGGAGTTAGTGATCAGCGGATACTGGGACACAGGCTGATCAACTAATAATGGGACATGGGCAGATAATGATCAACTAATAATACAATACAATTTTATTTAGGTAAGGTACATACATACAATAAATATTTACAAGGATTGTTTGACTTATAGGTAGAGCTAGTACATACAATGCCTAAAGCCACTATTACGCAAAGCGTTTCGGGCATAAATAGGACACGGGCAGATGATGATCAACTAATAACGGGACATGGACAGATAATGATCAACTAATAATGGGACATGGGCAGTGGATGTGGTGATCAGTGAACACCAGAACACGGCCGGAGGAGATCAGTGGATAATGGAACACGGCCAGTTCAGTGGATATGAGGACACGGGCAGTTTAGTGGATAATGGGACACGGATGGTGGCGACCAATGGGATAAAGAGACACGGACGGAGATAATCCTCGGGTAACGGGATTCAGGTAGGAGGAGGAGGAGATGCAAAGCGGGGTAACAAAACACAGGAGACCAGGAACCACAGCACACTGGGCGTGAGCGTGTTGGGGCGGAGACCCACAGATCAGCTGATCACCTTTCCCTGCCCCCTATCCAATCACCCCTCTCACAACCACGCCATACAACCACCCGTACAGCATCACCTGTGTGGCAAGGAGCTAATCCCCAGCGACAAACGCCGCCAGCACAGACAGCAAACCCCCTACCGACACATTCCCATCAAATCCCTGGCTGCTCCAACCTGCCGCTTCCCAAATGTCAAGCCATACTCGCGCCACCGATCGAAGCCAACTTCCTCAAATTAATGGCCAAACTTGCCCCTATCGCAGCCGCTAAACATGCCCCTTACCTTCAGGCCGGTACCAAGCACGATACAGTCGTATTCCTCATCCATGATGTCACGCTAGGAGTTCTAAAAGGAGAAATATATACACCGTTTCTACACCGGTGACTCCCTACGACAAGAGGTTGTCACGACCGCCGCCCCGCTGCTCCTCTCACAGCCCCGCCTCCACAACTAGTCCCTCACACTCAAACCTTTTCCTCCTTCCCTTCCTAATAACGCAACATCATTTATTACCCGCTTTAAATTTAACTAAAACAAAAAGTGGTATATTTAATTTAAATTAAATTTAGATTTGAATTTTGGGAATTATTGCCTTGGCTATTGGAAGGCGGAAGAATAGGGTTGTGGGGATGGTCAACAGATGGCAGCAGGAGGCAGCAGGGGCCGTCGTCTGCAGCTTGACGCAGACTATCATAAGCTGTCACTTTCTCTCTCTCATGTCGCAACTGTAACCCTCATGCACAGTACTGCCACGTGCAAAGCTATTCTCTTTTTCAATACTACGAGGGACCTCTGCCAGCTACCCTTCCTCATTATATATATATTAACAATCAATTCTTTGGAGACCTCACTAAGGCAGGCATTTAAACCCTAAGTCGGCAATACTAGTGACATACCAACAATGATATACAATAAATGCTGCTCAAGCGCTAATATCTACCATTGATTTGCTCCTCAATAAATCATTTAAATACCAAACCTGCCCCGGATATACAAAAAACAAACTAGAGTACCTCCAGTAGGCATACACAAAGGATGTGAATTGGTTTAGCTGATTTATTATGCACCTGATACCCCTCTGGTGGGCGGTAGTGGAAAGGGTTACAGAGGGTTATACTGGGCTCAGGGACCGAACCCCAAAATTCATTTAATTAAGCAAGTTACAGTCTAGATAAGCTAGTTACAAAATTTAATAAGGTATATTGCTACGTCATCAATGGGTTCGAGACCAACCACAAGTATACAGTCTCCACTTCCCCGTCAGAGTATGAGACTTAAATATATATGTGAATGTATATGTATGTATGTATGTATGTATGTATGTATGTATGTGTGTGTGTGTGTGTGTGTGTGTGTGTGTGTGTGTGTGTGTGTGTGTGTGTGTGTGTGTGTGTGTGTGTGTGTGTATGTGGGTGGGTGTGTGTGTATGTATGTATTCAGGATATATATAAGCTGGTCAGAACTGCATTTCACCTTTGTAAACGCACATTAATCACATTAAGAAAAACAGCCTCGAACACTGTTTATGTGAGACAGATGTAAATCTATGTATTTATGTATGTAGGCTACATGTGGCCTTTAAAAGCACTGCAATCACCTTCTGTCTTTAATTGTGCAATAAATCACTGAATTATATATTCAACAAATCTCTAACCCTGCCCATGGAGGACTGATGAAAATGTATATATGCTGGTTGGCCTTATAAATGAATGGCCACGTTTGTGGTAGAAAATAATAATGATAATAAAAAATCTCCAAGATAGGCAACTTACATATGTGGCAAGCTAGTGGCACACTTATCATGTTTATACTGCACAATGCCTCCTGTCTAGTGAGCAGCGGTGGATAGCTTACAATCACTTACATTTACTACCTACACTTAGCAAACTGGAGATTTTAACAAATTGGCTAAACCTTCTGATAGTAGATCATTTTTATGAAATATTTACACATTTCATACACATCTGTTATAGAGTTGTCTCTAAATTCACGCATATTTTCGCACTACATCACATAGTGATGAGTATGAGTATACGAATCATTTTGTTCACACAGAGATACAGACCTTCCTGTATTGATATAAACCACAGCGAAATAAATTCTACCAATATTATGAAAACACAAAGCTCACATGTAAAAATCATTGTATTAAATTCCAGCCAATTTGGTTCCAGACTTCTAGAAAAGAGCGCCAACAAATCCATAATAAACAAATGTGTGTGTGTGTGTGTGTGTGTGTGTGTGTGCATGTACTTACCTATTTGTGCATGCGGGGGTTGAGCTTTGGCTCTTTGGTCCCGCCTCTCCACTGTCAATCAACTGGTGTGTGTTTGGTGGGTGGGTGGGTGTGTATGGGTGTGGGTGTGTGGGTGGGTGTGTGTGTGGGTGTGTGGGTGTGGGTGTGTGGGTGGGTGTGTGTGTGTGTGTGTGTGGGTGTGGGTGTGTGTGTGTGTGTGTGTGTGTGTGTGTGTATTCAGGATATATATATAAGCTGATCAAAACTGCATTTCACATTTGTAAACGCACATTAATCACATTAAGAATTTAATGTGATTAATGCAAGGCAAGTTTCCTTGCCTGATGTGCTCAACGGTCGACAAAACTGACTAACCAACTGGCCTCTCCAGTGACCTAAGGAAAGCTTTCGATACCGTAAATTACAATTGATTCATACTTGACAGAATGCCTTTGGCAAGATTCCGGCTTCCTGCCCCCTTCGTGGCCACTAAATATAAAATAACCCTCAGGTAAATTCAGGTAAACCATAGACATAACAAGGCAACATGCAAGGAGATCTATATGCCTAGCTTATGATACTGCCTTCACTTTCTCCAACCCGATACACACACCCTAAGTGATGAATGCACTGAATTCAATGAATGATGCACTGAATTATACAAAAGAGAAGGGGTACCTCGAGTTACATTGGCTATGCAAATTGTCATCAAGCTGTAAGGGGTAAACACGGGTAGTAGTCTGACAACAGTACTATAGTATATATTACTATGGTCAGAAAGTAAACAAGAACAACTCTGTAACCAGTTCAACAATGCTGTAACATGTTCATCAGTGCTGTAACTATCTTATAGGTAGTTTGTTCAGCTACTGAGTTAGTTCAATTCATATATTATGCACCCGTACCCATTCTGTGGGAATAATAAACCATAAACCACGGACTTATAGTTTATTATTCTATTGATGAAAAAGCCTCTCCGTGTCTTTTGAATTGTGGGATGATGATGGGGGTGGAAGGGAACTATCAAGAGAAAGCGCCAAGCCATTACGACTATATAGCACTTGGAAGGGATCAGGATAAGGATTTGGGATGGGACGGGGGGAAGGAATGGTGTTTGATGACGCTGTTGTCCCTTGTATGCGTTACACGGAACCTTATAAAGAAGTGGTAATATTTTAAAGAGTAGTATCTTCCAATTTGTTCAGTATTTTAAGGGTCTCGATGATATAAGTTCTGTCATGTGTGATCGCTCTGCATATAACTTTCTTCAAATCAGCAGTTAATTTGAAGTTGAGATCTCTGTGCTTGGATTCACTAGTCCAAATGGGCCGCATCAAAAATTTGTACAGCTCAATAAACACTTTATTTTCTTTCAAGAAAGAGGTTCGCTTAAAATACAGACCTTTAAAATACTGAACAAATTCCTAAGATTTGTTAGCATTTTCTTCACCGCAGCTCCTGCTTGCTGAACAACTTTCAATAACTAGTGCATCATTTTTCCTTATCAATCTGCTGCGTGCTGTTGATATGGTAGATATAACGTGTATTATTATGCTCTACATTTATAAGGCTTGCATTTTTCAAAATTGATAGGCATTTGCCACTTTTCTGACCATTATTTGTGGAGTTTTCGTACATCGTTTTACATGGCCACAAAATCGTTTTCACTTCCTATACTTAACCATAAATCTTTGTGCCATCTTCAAATTTAATGTGGTTTGTGATTTTCTCGTCTATGTCGTTGATTTATATTACAAAAAAGACGCAACCTTGCAGTACTCCTCTCACATTTGTTTTGCAGTGATAGTCTTTTTCATTAAAGGTGATATTCTTCAGTTTTTGTTTTAAGCACTATTTTATTCATTCTATATTTGTTATAAATTATCCCATATGCTTGCAGCTTCTGTGGCAGTCTTTTGGGTGTATCTTATCAAAAGCTTCAGAAAAGTATACAAATCCTCTAATTAAATAGAATTTAAAATAAATAATACAAAAGTTAAGAGTAAATCGGTCAAAGATTCTCAAGCCTATGCTTTGATAACAGACGTATACTTAGTATTCTTAGCTGAGTTAGAATGATGGTGAACTTAACTTATTTATTACTAGGGTTGAGTCTGGCTAGCAGCTAGATGGGTGACAGCGCGGAGAGCCTCGCCCTGGGTTAGATAGACAAAAAAAAATTTACTCCATTACAGCTACACGTCAAGAACGAGCTCGGCCAAGAATTATGAAGTATTTACTCATCGACTCGTTCATCTTTCCTAGAGTACGAAGGCTGTGTTTACATTTATTAAACAGTTAGCGGGCTTCGAAAATTCATAGATCAATATTAATATTGTTATAAGCAACATCATAGTACTTTGGGAGCTCATAAACCGCTTAATAAATGTAAACATAATCGCCATGATTGAGGAATGATGAATAAGTTTCTTAAGTTACGTCTGATACCATACTACCTGTGCAAAGGAGGAAATGTATATGTTTATCTCTCAGAATGTTCGGCACCATGTTTATTGTTTGTGATGTGTGACTATATATGTATGAACACGATGTACTGAACGGGGTGAGAATAGCTTGAGCTACCTCATCCCTTTGTGTGTAAACTTATTTCAGTTTCTTACGTAAATGCGTAAATGTATCATGAATCTTGGGGTCGCCATGGACTGAGCCAAAAGGGAGATAATTCTTCACAAGTTTATCAGGGGATACACACGCCGAGTGATAACAGTATCATATCATGCCAACAGAACCAATGTATAGATGATGCTCTTATCGTATGGCCAGTGTATTACGGATCTCACATGGATATCTACATGATCTCACACGAGAATCTGAATTTACCTGATGGCCACCATCTCTCAAGTGGCCTCGACGAGGACAGGAAACCGGCGGCTTGTCAAAGTCCCCTTATTTTGTCCATCAGGATAAATAAGAGGACTTTGACAAGCCGCCGGCTTCCTGTCCTCGTCGAGGCCACTAGGGTGAATGGATACACTATCCATTGATTGCCATCAGGTAAATTCGGGTAAAAAGTTATCAATCAATGAGTTTTATATATTAAGTATTCAGATTATGAAATTACTGTGTTTTTTTTAGTAAATATCATAAGCGCTGGTCTTATCTTAATTAAGTCTCCTTAGTAAATACCATAAGAGCTGGTCTTATCTTAAGTCTCCTTAGTAAATACCATAAGCGCTGGTCTTATC